TTTTGGATTAGGACAAAAACTGTTTAAATCTGGCAACAGTAGCTCAGCTCTGGGCCTGAAGGTCATGGGTTTGAACCCACCACGGGACCTACTCCAACTGCTCCCACTAATGTCTGCTGTCGTTGTGTAACCCCACATTACCTGAAGCTCCCGTTGAAACACCAAGGCTGTGGCACCACTGATGTAGCACCATCTTCCTGTGGACCCACCACCTGCAGAGGATCAGCAAGGAACTGGTGCTATGAGCATTGGGTGGCAGCTCTCATTGTCATCCCCCCAACCCAGAAATGAACTAATAAAGGGGCAGAAAATGAATGAAGGAATGAATCTTCAAATCCTCATGAATGTATTTTGTGAGCATTTAATTCTCGGTAGGCTCAAAATACATGACTTGCTTACTCTCTCAAAAATACAACTCGTTACAAGTTGTCGATTAGGCTCAAAACATATCTAGTGCCTAATCAAATTCCTTTATGAGGCTTGGAGGAATCTATTGTTGAATTTTCATAGTAATAGTAATTCTAATTCAGCCACCTGCTTGTGCAAGACGTTAAAAGGTTAAAAGCTAAAAAAAGTAAAATAACGCATATTGTGTCCCCTTTCATAATGATTTCTGTAAGTACACTGACTTTCTGTTTGTGTGTAAATCAAAGATGCTTTTGTATCTTGTTTTAAAGTGCTGGATATGTTCATTGTAATTATTGCCTATATCTGTACAATACAACTGGGAGGAGCTCCTCCAGGCTCACTCTCCTAACAGGACAACAGATCCACTATACTGTTACTGGGAGAGCGAACCTCTGTGGTCTTGTCTATTTGGCACTGATGATAACTTGACAGCCAGGAGAGCTCTGGTTAGAGTTAAACTAGTATTTATCAAGCTGTCTCGCCTGACCCCACTTGCCTGAGAGTGAATCGTATCTCTATTGCTCAGCCTGCACAAGACCAGCCATCTGCCCTGATGCTGTAAGCCTTTTCCTAGTCTATGAACTAATCTGGCTTTCTCCACACATAACCTTGTTGGATGCTTTCTGGCTGTCCGAAATAACTTTTTTAGCTTGATTATACACTATCCACTGCCAGTCCAAATTACACCTCTGAGCTGAGATTGCCCTGAACAGCCACATAACGCTGCAGCAAGCGGACGTAGATGATGCAAGCACCGTGACAAACATTATGGCCGGCAAATGTCAGCGCTCAATGGCTTCCTCGAAAAACAATTTGTGCCGATATTATCAGCTAAACACCACTTGAACTGCTCACTGCATGCTTATTTTGGCATGCAGTGGAAATCTTTTTCTGGATGAAAAGCCAGTATCTTCTTGTACTGTATCTTCTATCTGCTGTAGATAATGCACAAGCTATCTAGAACATAAAACTTTAGCAATTTTAATTTAATAAACAAATACTACGCATTAGCTGTATCGATTTGAGCCCTTGACTTAAAATATTTACGTTGGTATTTCAGTTGTCAGTGGATTAAAAGTATATGGGAGGATTTTCTTCTTCTGGGTGAATCATCTAGACCAGGGGTGCTCACACTTTTTCAGCATGCGAGCTACTTATAAAAGGATCAAGTCAAAATGATCTACCTACTACAAAAATGCAAATCATATATTTCAAAAAATATTCTTTATATCTACAATGTATGTTTATGTAAATGCAAAACCGCATGAGCCAATATAGCACAACACAACACAATTACCTATGTACATTTTTTGTCATTACCCGAGTTTACTCTTATGACTTGCACTGAATTGAATCGGCCAGGGATGCATAGTCCGGAAAATTGGTGGTAACTCGCTGACAAGTTTGTTGTGGTTTAGCTTTCCTGCACTGAGCGCGGTTGTTTGCGCATGTGCAGTCACCTAAGTGTCAGTAAAACTTTACTGAGTAAAACACAGATGTCATTTGACTGTGGTGCCATGTCCATGTGCCATGCCTGGTTTTTTTAAATCCAAATATTTCCCCTCCTCCGTTTATAAAATAATTTGCATCCACACATCTGCGTTATCAATCACATTCGTAACATTCCAAACATGTGCGTCTCTTACGTCCTGTCCTGTGTTGGGGAAAACACAGAAGTGGGCGGAGCTTTGATGCAGACGCCGGTAACGGCACTTTTACAGTCATAGAAGACACTCAGAGTAAAGACGTATGTTTACAAGCACTGACCCTGTCCTCAGCCCTGGTTTAGTCCTGGTTTAGTCCTGGTTTGGTTGTTTTCGAGCGTGAGTCCCCGCGATCACTTTGCTGCTCTCTGATGTGGAGCAAGGATGTTCGCTGCTGCGAGCATCTCACAGCGAACAGTTTTTAAGGTAGTATGATCCATGCTTCAGTGATCAGAGGAATTTAGGGGGGTACTGTGGCGTGCGAGAACGCAAAACTCTGGTTATCTCTGTCTACACACAAATGCATTAACGGAGTTTTCAAAAATCTCCACTTTGCCCGGTGTTTTTTGTATATATTCGTTTAGAATGTATAATTTTTTATTTATTTAATGCGATCTACCAATACTACCTTTGCGATCGACTGGTAGATCGCGATCGACGTATTGAGCACCCCTGATCTAGACTATTGGTCCTCCTAATTGTGAATCATTCTGGTGATATGCGAGACACATTTTAATAGGCGTTCCTTCTGAGGAGGGTGGTTTTTTCCTAAAATTCTGGAAAATCCTCCTATATACTGTACACTGTAAAAAAGAAAAAGTTAGTTCAACTAAAAATTTCAAAGCAACCAGCTGCGAAGGATTTTTGAGTTGAAGGCATTAACTTAATTCTTCACGTTTTGAAAAAATACACCTATTAAGTTGTGTCAGTTAAGTTTTCCAAGTCCCGCCAACTAAGTTTTTAAATTCAAGTTACTGGAAATTTCAAGTCTGTGAAAACTTACTTTTTTAAGTTCAGTACTGTCTCCTACATATCACAGACCAAGGTCACTTGGGCAGGGGAAACCGGAGCACCTGGAGGAAACCTATGCAGACACAGAGAACATGCAAATTCCACTCAGATAGGCCCTTATGTTTCTAAGACTGACCTAGGGAATATATAGGGCTACTTTGGCTTGGCCCTGTCAATTATGGTTGGTAAAAATAAATACAATGATTTTTTTGGTCAAAAAAACGACAACTCAAAATTGTTCACCTTACTCAGATTTTTGCATTCACTGACAATAAAATTACCAGTTGGAACTGGAACTGTCTGTTGTGATGAACTTTTCATCAGAAACTTCTGAAAGTGAGTTCAAGTGGCTCATAACAGACAGTTGCAGTTCCAACTGGCAATTTTATTGTCAGTGAATGCAAAAATCTTAGTAAGGTGAACAATTTTGAGTTGTATTTTTTACAGTGTACCTTTAAGTTCAACAGAAAATTAAGGACCACACAGCTCTATCTGTTGGCCTGAAGCCTTAATGGAACGTTTAAATATACTTTAGACATGAAGGTGGTGAAGGTTTTCATTATAGAAACTGGTCAGTGTAATTCAGTCCAGATGGAGTGGCCTTATCCTGTCAGTTATTGAAACAGTTATCGCGGCTTTGTTGAAATGTTATTTTTGCAATTGTTAATGGTGCATGAAGCAGCCTGTGTATTACCACCTGCTCCGGGCTATTCTCAAACACTCACTAAGATTCTCACATTACTACCTGATGCTTCCTCTCTGGAAAATATATGAAGTGTTAATAACCCACACATCAACGCTCAACAATGAATGTAATGTGGAAAAGTGTTTGTCACAATAACCTTACAAACTCAACACAGATTTTGATTCTCTAACAGTCAAAATAAGTTTACTCACACAGGAGGAGCTTGAGAAGAGTTACTGCTCACCTCGAGAAGCTTCTCTTTGGGTTGCCTCCTTTCCTGGGGAGGAGACACCGGGGAAGACCCAGAACACACTGGAGGGACTATGTCTCTCCGCTGGCCTGGGATTGCCTCAGGATGGAGGCGTTGTGTGTGGAAAGGGGAGTCTGGGAGTGTAGCTCAGACTCCATGACCCGGCAACAGATAAAGCGGAAGAAAATGTATGGATATGTATAATAGTGATAATAAACAAAATAATCTATACACTAAGCTAATCATATGAGACTACAAGCCAAAGTTTCATATTAAATCTGGTAAATTGTGTACTGTTTATAGGTTATTTAGGTAACTAATGAAATACATTATAAATCATATCTATCAAACATTTCCCCTTCCCTTTAATTTAAAAAAAGTATATTTGTAATTTGCATAGACTGTGTTTGTCTTATACTGCCACTAATCAGACTTGACTTGACGTCGGAGAATCAGACGTGCTCACCACATAACCGCAGTGCATCAGTGCGCTCTGCTGGACAATCAGACAGCATTTGTGATCTCTGATCTCACTGCCGTCACCATAGTTACAGCAGTTGTTTGTTGTACAAGGTACTGGGAGTGCCTTTCTTAAGCTCCTAAATATGGTCTGTGGTCTGACCACTTCAAGCCACATGCTGCGACTAAATGTACACACAAGGACTGCAAACTCCGAGATGCACAAGGCCTCCTGTTGTAAGGCTTTTCCCCTCTTTCTAAAGTGATTATTGAGCAACACACGCTCTTATCAATTTTATGCTATTAGTTATTAGTTATTTAGTCTAACTTCATCCATCCATCCATCCATTTTCTTCCCCTTAATCCATTTCTGGGTCGGGGGGGTGGCAGTCAGAGCTGCACCCAGTACACATAGCACCAGCCCCTCACTGATCCTCCTGCAGGTGGTGAGTCCACAGGAGCTGAGATCTTTCAGTTGGGGCTTTGGGCAAAGTGGGGTTAAGTGTCTTGCCCAAGGACACAACGACAGCAGTCATCAGTGGGAGTCATGAAGTAGGTCTTACAGTGGGCTTGAACCCACAACCTTCAGGCCCAAAGGCCAATGCTCTACCAACTGAGCTACAGTCTAACTTCATATTACTCAATTATAGCTGCTGTTACTGTCATGAGGAAAGAGGTGAATTTGTTTTAATTTTTTCCCCAGGATTTGACCTGATGGAACATTTCAACGTGAAGGACATTCTTGGGACCAGAGACGACGAAGACCAGAGTTCATATGTTCGACTTGGTACTATGCCAATAGTGCAGCAGACTGAGTAAGAGCCCATTCCACACTCTAAAATACTAAGTGCAAGATTATGCAAAATGAGAATATTTTACCTACAAAAGAACATTTGAGTCACTGACAGCAAAGCGTTGTTTGTTGTCGTAATAATATTGTTCTTATTCCACAGAGATGTGTTTTCTCAGGGCCTACCAGATGAATATGCATTTGTGACCACATTCAAGTTCAGGAAAACCTCAAGACGTGAGGACTGGTATCTGTGGCAAGTCTATGACAAATATGGAATCCCCCAGGTGGGTACAGATATTTAGATACTGGATATGTTATAGAAAATCAAATGTCCAAAAGATTTAAGAAATCTCTAACAATTCCATCAAAAAAAATAACTGTATATAGTTATGTGTTTATGTATGTCTCTTCATTCATGTCTTTTTTTAAAGGGTTTAAAATGAGAAATGGAGACACTAATACCGTTTTTGATGCAGATGCCGGGGCCCATTTCAGAATTAGTTCTGAATTAGTTCTGAAATGGGAACCCGTTCTGACACTGCCAATAATCTTGGCATACACTTTTAAAATAATGTTGGTATTAAATGGAATACAGCAAAAACAGTTTGTGGAGCTAAAACCAGGTGGAACCTTATACCTTGGTGGAAAGGGGTATAAGGGAGAAACCAGCTTTGTGGACAAATTAACCAACACATTCATCATGTCTTCCTGTGAATGAGACTCAAGTGTATGACTAATGGAACAGTCAGTATTGTTTGTTACCTTTGCCTTTGTCGCCAGGTATCAATCCGTTTGGACGGCGAGAACAAGGCGGTAGAGTACAATGCCGCTGGAGTCACAAAGGATGCAGTCCGAGCCGTGTTCAAGAACCCCGAGGTGGAAGACCTGTTTGACCGCAACTGGCACAAGATCGCCATCAGCGTGGAGGCCAAGGCTGTGTCCCTCTACCTGGACTGCAAGAAGATTGCCACACTGCCCCTAGAGGAGAGAGAGGACATTGACATTCAAGGAAAGACCGTCATAGGAAAAAGATTATATGACAGTGTACCCATTGATGTGAGTCTGCACTTGTGAGGTCCAAAATAAATGTATAAGTATGAATATTAGCAAAGGAAATATTTTAGAACTGTCCTCGTTAGGCAGTAGTTTCAGAAATCACCAAAGAAATACTTAACTGTTTGAATCTAATACAATGTTTGTTTACACCACTCCAGTTTGATCTTCAGAGGATGATGATTTACTGTGACGCCAAACATGCAGAGCTTGAGACGTGCTGTGATCTACCCACTGGGCCAGTAAGTTCTGCCAGTCAAAGCTCTTGTCAGTCTATAAAAGAAACATCCTGTTATTACATACTATTACATGCACTACCAACCAAAGCAGAACTCTGTTGTATCCAGATATAATATACAAAAAACACTATACTTTTCAGTTATATCAGGGCTGTTTCAAATAACCAGCATTTAGTCTCTCTGTAATCTATTCTCTGATGAACCAGCAAAACAATAAACTCTGAGAACAAAGCAGGTTTTGTAGAATTATACTTTTCCAAACAAAATTACAATGTATGGAAAGCTATTTATAACTGTGATCATAAAGTTAATTTGTAACAACTCTTTTTTTTACAAAGATACTTACTTTTTACAAATATAATCATAGCTTGTGTTATTTGTGTTCCTTTTCAGTGTCCCAAAAAGGTTGTGACTGAAGCTCCTCCAGTTGAGATCCCTACTCCGACCCCCAGAAGCGCAGAGCAGAAAGGTCCTGAAGTGAACTGCTCATGCACTGTTGGAGAGAAGGTAAAGCCTGCTTTAACTGACCCATATCAACTTAAGATACATGTCCAATGTTTCAGCACACATGTTGTTTTCAGGTATTTCTAAGAGCTTGTATTTTCCACAGGGAGAGATTGGTGAACCTGGTGTGACAGGTCCCAAGGGTGAAAAGGTGCCCTCTTGTATATTAGTGTGTGACAAGTGTAATACCACTGCTTACTACGTGTTTACACTCCATGTGGCTCTTTCAGGGCGACACAGGTGCTACAGGTGCAGCTGGACCATCTGGCATCAAAGGAGAAAAGGGCGAAACTGTAGGAAAACTAATGTGCACAGGAATAGAAAATAAACAAGCAATAAATAATAAATTAAGCTGAATATATATATGTTCATTTTTAACTCAGTTACAAAATATAGTTATCTGCATGCATGCACTATTCTTTGCTCTATTTCTGTGCCTCGATAATAATTGATCTGAATGATGAATTATTTGCAGGGCAAAGTAATCTCTGTCAAAGGCGACAGAGGGGAGAAGGTAAGTCCCCCTTTCACTCTGCCGCATGTCCCTTCTGTGCAGCATGTTTGTCTCTGTGCATACTCCATATGCATGTGACTCAGACACAACATGAACTCTGCTTTTCTCTTCTATTTAAGTCATCTGACAGTGCACCTCTTTAGGAACAGTTAAGAATGCTTTGAGTGCTGTCCTGAATTAAAGGCCAGGTGACCACAAAGGATCTGTAGTAAGATCAGGCCTGCTCAAGGGCCCACCCAGTCTGCCTGCTCTGGGCTGGGCATTGTGGGCATTGCCAGTGTGTAGTCTGAGGAGGATTCTTCTAGAGACTAGACTGTTGTCATGAATCACTCTGTCCTGATAGGACTGCTCAGAGTCACCTCAACGTCTGGACAAAATGATGTCACTTTTCATTCTCGTATTTTTATTTTTTTTATCTAACCACTAAAGATTAAATCTTCTTTTGCTTTCAAAATAGCAATAATATTGACAGCTCATACTCTACAACAACAAACAATTATTTCTTTCTTTTTTTACTATTTGAGATTCAAACGCTCACTGAGCGTGAGCAGGCTTTGTGAGGAATTTGTGGGCACTGAAATACTTTGTAAAAGTGAATTCACCCTGTTGAATTGAATTTTTAACATTAGAGGGCGCAGGCAGGGTCCCCACTCAGTGGATGAGGGAGGAAATGGTGCTGAAACGAAGGAAGATACAATTTTCACAGTGCATCCTAAGCACATGTATGAAAATAATTTGGAAGAGACACTCAAAACCTGTGAAATTATAGCCCTTTCTTGCATAAAGGTGATTTCACCTCAATTGAAACAGCTCGATTTGTGCTTCTTTGCATTTTTATCCAAGTTGACATGACGCTAACACAAAACAGCACAGTCTATGGGTGGTAGACGCGGGACTATACTAATACTTACAGTCTAGACTATAAACTGGACTTGGAGAGGCTGCAGTGCTGATTTGCTGTTTTGTTAGAGAGCTGAAAAACGTCTTTGGGCACATGAAGGCCAAATAACACTGCATAATGTTTAAAGCATAGAAAAGTCAAAAAGCATAAAATGGGACCTTAAAAGAACTTAATATACAGTCACCTGTGATTTTACAGGTGGTTGTAGAAGCAATGGTGTACTTACTGTCTTGCAGTGCTTTTTTACTAAACTTTTTTTTATATATTTTCCTTTATGAAAATGAAACTCAAGTTCAAATAGCCATCTGGTCATAATCGGCGTGTGGTCTCTATGTTTTTATGGATTTCCAGATATTTCACTTAACATTTGCATTGTACACCTTCATCTTCCCCAATCAGTGTTGTATGCCATTAACTAACTTGTGTTCCATTACCATTAACCCATTTTGTGAGACCAGGTTTCAAGAGCACGTCAACATTAACCACTATTTTTAGCATGCTTTGAACAGACAAGTAAAGCAACATACTTTTTTACAGGGTGACGCAGGCAGAATAGGATTAACAGGTGCTGCTGGACTAAAAGGAGAGAAGGTGTGCCAAGTGATGCCGAATTGCTTTGCAGTAACAATAAAATGTCCAACATGTCCAAAATTATTTATTTTGATGTTCTTACCAGGGGCTTGGAGGTGTTCCTGGCATTGATGGTTTATCTGGGGACAAAGGAGACAAAGTAAGTACAGTCTCAAACCCATTTTTGAAAGTATAACGTCTCATATCCTTGAATGTAGTAAAGTACAGTGGCCCTTTTTCAAACAGGGTGAAGCAGGGTCACCAGGGAGTAAGGGGGCGCTTGGTCCTGCTGGTCCAAAGGTACGATCAATGATTTGAACAATTATTCAGAAACAGCCCATTCTGCATGCCTTTCATGTCTTCAGAACAATTAAACTAGGACCTTGTGTCATTATTCAAGGAGAAAGATACTGTACATACCTGGTCCACACCCATGGTCCACACATACAAAGCAATGTTTGCTACGGTTGACCAGCTAACTTAGCTTACCTTGGTTAAAGTAGAACTAATGTTTAGCTAGTTACTGAACTTTGAAGAATACAGAACCAAAAAATAACTATAGGTTACTTCAAGTAACTGAAAAAACAGATAAGAATATCTACATGGACTACATGGACTATCTACAAGAACATCTATTATGGTCTAACATTAGTCCATTAGGCTAACTTAAAAAACGGTTAGCCTAGCTAAATGCTAAATAACGTGTAGTTTCGTCATAGACGTAATAGCTCATAGCTAAAGTTACTAACATAGCGGATACACTTTTTGCCTCACTCCAAGAAACAGTAGTATGTTTTTAGGAGAAAACAGTTAGTAACATAGCACTGAACCTGACCTGAGCCATGGTGGACGTCATCACATTATACTGTGGTCTTTACATTATACTCCTGCACTGAAGCCTCCGGTACTGGTACTGGGCTGAGGATCACTGTAAAACCAGGTGTGGCCATAGTCCTTAGTACTATGAATACGGTGAGTGATGTGAAGTTGCACACAGCATCTCTTAGTGATGCAAAGGTGATTACTGGGACATACTCTCAGTTTGTTATATAGAGGCATTAATGGATGGATCTATGTATTAGCATAGCATCTATATAAAGTTTATGTTCTTCAGTAACTAAAACTACTAGATCTATGGATTCACCTTAATTTTAGTGTAGAGCTGCAACTAACGATTATTTTCTAATCGATTAATCTATTGATTATTTTTACGATTAATCGAGTAATCGCTTGGCTGTGAATTGTGTAGAAAAAAATGATTTTTTCATCACAAAAAGCTAAAGTGGCAACACTCGAGGACGTATTGATGGCGTAAACTTAAAGTAAATGTTTGTAACAGGCTCTTTGTGCTAATTCTGCTCTGATTGGATGAGACAGACAGATATTCATGAAATTATAAAAACAAAGTTGGTTTTAATCAAAAATACTACATTTTCATGTCATTTTTGCTCTGTTTGAGTCCGTGTGAACCAGAAAACGATTAATCGATTACTAAAATAGTTGTCGACTATTTCAATAATCGATTAGTCGTCGATTAATCGATTAGTTGTTTCAGCCCTATTTTAGTGTTATTTTTTTCTATTGTAAAACTTGGATGTCATAAACAAACAGAACTGTTCTCATAACATGAATAAGTGAATGCAGTAATAATAACATTGTAAACTGCATATTGATTATATATTTGACCTTAAAGGGAATTCAAGGTGATTCCGGAAATCCTGGTGCCCCTGGACTAAGAGGTGTAACTGTGAGTATTGTGGTAGTTGATCTGTACCTAATCCTATAATACATTGTATGTTGAAAAATCTTACTTTTTCCATAGGGGGAAAATGGTAACAAAGGTGAAAAAGGCGTACCTGGTGCCCCAGTAAGTACTGCACCTGTAGCCTACATTTATTTTATTTTTCTTTCATGCGCAGGATCAAAAGGAAATGCTTTCAGTTGCACATTATCATCTGATTTTACTACTGAAAAATGCTGCATAATATTTCTATTTGGATTATATTGCATGTTATTGGGAACATATACAAAAACCACAAATCCTCACTGTTAGGGTCACTGGTCTTGGGTCTTCACAAACCTGACTCGTACTTGGCCACGAGGAGAGATCATAGACCAGATCTAAACAACAGGGTCAAGTCTTTCCCAGGAACAGGCCATTCCTGGAACTCCAAAGCTAGGGGTTTTAATGGGCCAAACAGATGTGTCTTCCTTGATTCACTCTCCAGTTTCCCGTCTCAAATTGTGTGGGGGCGTTTGGCTACAAGGCATTTCATTCAAGGCCACTGGAGTTTTGTTGATGTGTGAACGTTCATATTTTCCAATAGAATGACGCTACAATGCAGCTCAGACGAGCCATAAACCCAGTGAAAGTTCTATCCAGCTACAAACAATTGTTTCCACAATCTCATTCATGATTTTATGAGGTTGTGGAGGTTTGTGATTTCAAATAAACGATCAAATGACTAAAGGAACGACATATGAACAGTGATGACATTTTGATGCTAGCTGAGATTCACCTTAAATTGATTTTCCTTGTGGATAGTAAAATGTTGTAAACGCAAAGTTAAGACAGCTGATGACTTCAACATGTGCTACAAGGAAACATTGCAGGTTTAAGCAGGACTAAAACATGTCTGACCATTCAAAACATTACAATGTAATTTCCTGTGGGCTATGCTGGAAAAGCATTTGTGAGAGAGGAGATACTGTAGGTGGGAGGTGAAGGAGCTTGGGTTACAGATGACTGAGACATTACTGAAAAGAGGGGGTTGTGTTTTGCATTACAATTCAGAATTAAACATGTGATATATTTGGAATCTGATCATTTATAGATTTCTTTTCAATGAACTTGTACTGTATTGATGATTGTATTGTGGTGTATACAGTATTGTTGTCAGGCTTCTAAAAACCATTATTCACCCCATAACTCCATAACTGTTCACCAATCTATTACATTTTTTTTTATTTCACCAACATGTTGTGAAATTAAATGTTTGCCTACTCAAAGAAAAAGTTGTGTACAGTCTAGTATAGTATAGTTTTCTTACAGCTTTACAATACAGTGTTTGCAACATTTGTGAAGAAGTGTAGAATGAGAAAACCCCTCTTGGTCCAATGTAACTATTTTCTGTTTTAGGGCCTGGCTGGTGTTGACGGACTTCCCGGAAATAATGGCGTTCCAGGAAAAGATGTGAGTTTGATTAAGCATACAAAAAATATGTAAAAACAAATATGGAAGCATGTTGGGTGCACTTACGTGTTTGTTATTTTTTTGCTGGTATCAGGTTATTTCAAGATACTTTCATGTTCGTACAAGATACGGATCATGTTATTTATTTCATGAAACTATCACGTTATGTAATGAATTTTTTTTTTTATGAAATACCAAGATACTGTAGATTTTCCAGACTCAGCATGGTCTAGCGTCATCATGAAATAACGTGATAAATATCTTGCTATTTAATAATAAATTGGTATCATAAACGTATTTTGTACGAACATGAAATTATCTTAAAATAACATTAAATTGTCATGAAATAACGTGATACCAGCCACACAAAAAACACACACAAGTGAACCCAACACACTTTCGCAAAAAATACGTAATTCATAAAAAATAAGAAAACAATTTAATTCAGAGGAATGTTTGAATGTTATGTGTATGTGTGTTTAGGGGTTGAGAGGACTGGCTGGCACTCCTGGGCCAAGCGGGATTAAGGGAGACAAGGTATGAACCGATAAGTTGAATGTGTGTTGCATAATTTTTTGTAAACATCGATGCATTTTGGCCTTGTCTCAAATGTTTCTCATTATGGCTATAGGCTCTTAGAGAAGTAGGAGACATGACCAAACTCAGTCAGAAAGAAAGATGAGAAAAACATGACTGCAATAATTGTAGCATTGCAATCACCAAGTACCATACCTTGAATAATTTTATTTACACTTTTTAGAGTTCAACAAAACTGCTGATATTGAAATTCTTAAATATAAGCATTTAAGTGCTTACGAAATAAATCCTCTAATTAAATTGTGTCCCATTGACGCACAAATACGTCAAAGCAAATAGTAACGTCGTGTGCCATTGACGGATTAATCCGTCAATTGCCTTTTTCGCTATTTTCACGTTCCCAGATGTCTATTGTATCTAATATGTATGGGGATGACTTGAGACCATATTTTATCGAGCCAGCAGGTGGCAGCATTGCTCTCTGAATGGTTTGAAAACATGTAGGTGCACATGTTGTGCCTCTTTTTTCTCAACTTTCTGGTGATTTCTGGTGATTTCAGTAAAACTTCCCTCTACTCGACGGAGGATTACAGGGGAACGAAAAAAGCTATAAACAAAATTCTTTTTGCTGAGGAAAGTAGACAGTCCATTCTTTTAGAATCTGGTGTCGGATTTCAGATAGTCATAGTACACAATATTCTGTGGGTCTTGAAAAATCAGTAAAAATCATCAGAAATGGCTGGCACTGTGGGAGTACCTGTTCTGAAATAGGCTGGCATTCAATGAGTTAAGTTTCATTGTCAGATTCCCAAGCTCTCGCAGTTCACCAGACATTCCAGAGTCTACAATCAGCCCACTCATTTGTCTGCTCAAATAAAACACACTCACATTTGTCTCAGTCTAAATCCTTCTTTGATGCCTGCCTCCCCGCGCCTCTGCACACCCATGTGATTGCAGAGAGACACATTTACCTCACCTCAACTTTCACTTTTTACATCTAAAAAGGCTGCCTGCCATAAACTTTCATATTGCTACTTGAAAGCCTCAGGGCGCTCTTTTGAACTGCTCTAATCACTATGTTTTTGTGAAGGGGGAACGTGGTCTTCCTGGAATACCTGGAGATGTAGTAAGTACCACAAATACTATAAATCGACAAATTTCTTTATCTAAGTTGTAGGTGTAAGGGATATATTTGGGTTTTGTATTTGTATTTTTGTTTTTTTTACTATAAACTCAAACTCACATATTTTCATGATTATCTCATTTATAATTATTTATTCGTTTACTTCGGTAGAATACAACATACAGTATATATATATTTTTTTTTTCCTGGTAAGTAGTAGTCAATGAAAAAATAGTGAAAAATATCAAATTGAAGTAAGTTTTAGAAATGCTACAGTTTCTTGTTAGTGCTAGTTGCTGAAAACATGACAAAACATATAATGACATTCTTGACCCTTCGGTCAAATAGACCCAGGGGTCAAGCTGAATTCTGATGACTTCTCATAACTTGACAAGCCCTGGATCATTTAGACCCTAATTTAAGGTATTCTTCTGCTACTTTTAATCATTCAAGTATATGATGTGAAATGACTCGTCCTTGTCCTATACACATAGTTGTGGGGTTACAATTGTAAACAAGGGAATACATGTAATACTGCAATGTTCTGCCACTGTTTATATTTACAATATTTTGCCTGTATATGTACAAAGTTAACATCTCCTTTGCCAAAAACTAGCAATAGAAACAAGCTGTATTGTGAACACTGCGTACATCTATACTATAAAATCATGTCAAATTTAAGATAGTTGTGTCATTTCTTTCTTTGTCTCTCTTCTGCTTGAGGGAAACAGCCTTAATCAGTAAAAGTCATTAATTATGTATTTTTGGCAGAGATGCAGCCACAAGGGATCAGAGTAAAATGACAGCATTATGGGGAACGTTGTGATTGCCTTAACAGTCTTTTTTTGGTATGGGAATCAATATACAGTACAATGTTTGACCTCATTATTCTATCAGCAATTAATAACAATTCACTTGTATAAAATTAGTTTTTTGGCCAACATAATCAAAAATTGAAGCCTCATTCAGTAACTTTTTAACCAAAACTGAAAGTGGCCCGGCCTCTCCACAGATATGACTGGTACTTGTTCTGGAGTACGGCCTGCTCAGTTCTATTGTCATTTTTTGTCGTATGGCGTATCTATCTCCTTGGAGAAAGTAAACAGTTGGAATACTACATCAAGTGTCCAACAAGGTCTTAAACAATCTCTAAGCATTGATTCAAATAATACCTTTAAAATGCCTGAAAACTTCTTTAATTTTCATTTAGTGTTTGGCATTCTCCTTAAAAATTACAACTGTCAGCCACTATTATTTTTTTTATAAATAACGCAGCCAAAATAAGGAGTTGCAGAAGTATAGAATGTGTATTATCATCAGCATTATTTAAGTGTAATGTTAATTAACCTTTACTTCTTTTTGTGTCAAGGTTCAGAAGGAAGGAATAAGAGGAGATAAGGTAAAGGATGAATGCTGTGAATCAAGTTTTGTTCATTTTGACTGAGCAATAATCACATTTTTGACTGAATTTAATTTCTAATAATGTGTTCAGTCATTTACCTTATTCATTCATTGAGATATGAGCCAAATAAATCATCTCTGAGCAGTGTGAGATGGGTTGTGTGCATTTGTTGAGCTGACACAGCGCACAGCGTGGTACATACTGATTTGTCGTGTTATTGCAGGGAGTTGCTGGACCCCCGGGACCTCCTGGAGCTGACGGACCCCCTGGGCCTCCTGTAAGGATCTTGTTCTAAGTTTTCTACTTGACATTGGGGGATTTTCTGTTTGTATTAAACTTTTGAAATATTGTGTAGGCAAGCTTTCTTTTTTACTGTTCAGTTGAAGTGAACTATGGTGGAAGAACAGCATAATTTAACCTTAAATCAAGAAATAATGCATTTGAAAGATGTTGAGTGGTTGTTGCTGGCACTTTGACCTGGCAAGCATGTAGATTTGTAGGATTTATAGACACATACCATTGTTGATGTATGGTTTGGGCTTTAGACCCTGGCAGATATATCACATCAGATAAATCACATGAGATATGCAAGAGGTAATTCAAATAGAATTATAAATCTGAAATTACCCGCGGTTTAGACCTTGGTGGTGGATGCTGAAGTGATGCTCTGATGACATGGAGAAAAGTTCCCACTGTTCATCACTTTTGAGTGATGGTGGAGGAGGAGGGTTTCGGCACAAGCTGTAGCTAATAGATGCATTGGTTTAATGCAGTGTTGTTGACAATTCAGGTGTGTAACTGTGCCCTGACAGTAAGGCACAGGTGTGGAGTAGAGAGAGAGGACTGGAGTGAAGTGCTTATTACTCAGGTGTCTCTGCAGCTCAAAGTTAATGTTTGTCTGTGTTGTGTAGGGTCCTCCCGGTGTTCAAGGTTTCCCCGGAGCGCCTGGGGAATTCGGCCAAAGGGTGAGTCTTCTTAAAGTGTGTATAACATTGCTCCGTATGTCTTCACCCAGTCTGTATGCTCCCAGATGGTTTGTGGCTGATCAGGTGTCTCAGGCAAAGTTTTGTGTGTTTTTGTGTAACATAAGATAAAGACCTCTAGATACAACATATGTAAATTTTCCAGTTTTCTACAGTATGTCCATACTATGTCCATACTATGTCCATACTAATGGGGATCAACGGGGGTAGAGAACACACTAGATCTATGGAATTCAGAATAGAACTATAAGTACAAATCTGTCGCTGTTTTTTTGATTTGACATAAACCAATAATTACAGTAGGCCTTTAGAGTATGGGTCAAGGTTAAAAGATTGTCCACATAGGACACATTTATTTACAGTCAATATTAGAATACCATCTGGAATGTATAAAATATAAAATTACTATACAATCACATTCGCAACGGAAATTTAAAAATCATCAATGTTGTCTTGAAATATCAGTATCTGAATTAAAGAACCACGAACTAATCCTCATCGACTTTCCAAATTAATATCTTGTTTCTCCAAATATGGGTATATTGAATGGACATTTAGACTTTGAATGAACAACTACAACTATATGAATTCACTGAACAATAATGCTATTTTTTAAGATAATAGTCAATGTTTTACCCACCACTGTTTTATATAAAAAAAACATTACTTGTGTCCTTTCTTCTGCTTTTTGATTGGAAGCGTTGACAATATGTTCAAACCCCATCACATCTGCTTTGTCTGTGTTTTGTGGAAAACAGCAGAATGTCCTCAGCTCAGCCAGACAAGAAACGCAGACTGATCCTTCATTAATATGTATAAAGGGATTATTTTGTGTGGAGATTGGACAATATCAGCCAAATCCTCTGCTCAAGTTTGTGGAAACAATGGGGTCTGGAGTATTTTTCTAACATAAGTAAAAGAGCAAAAACAGCTGGTCTCAGCCTGGCATTTCACTGATAACAATATGATCGTCTGGTGGCATCTTCGGAATCTTCTAATTTGACAGTATTTTGAGAATCTTCTAATTTGAGTGAATGGAATGAAAATAATTCATTAACATAAACAGCCTCCATCTACAATCTGTTTTAGAAACTGGGAAAAATGGGGAACTTTCTTTGTGTGTGTTTTTTTTTTTTTACAAACCAAGGAGACTTTTTCTTTTCATAAACAGATAATATATGCAACAATATGTTTTGCCATAACATCATCTGAGATAAAAGTATTGAAAATATGAATCGACACTAAAACTAGTTTTGAAACTAGATACTTTTTGAGCAAGTATTGTTACTAAACATGAACACATAGAGATGTAACTGCTCTTAGTATTTTGAGTAAAAAAACAACAGTTTATATTGTAAAGAGCATGTGGAAATTGTTATTGAGGATGAAGCAGCATCAACATTATCATCTTTTGACATTTCATTATTTTTTGTCACTAACACACCTCAAGCAACCGGGCTTTCATCAGCATGCAAAAGCCTCTGAAACTATCTATGCCTTGTTCAAGCATTAGCAATGATCTTAACTCTAGCTGTTGAGAAGTTATACATTTTTAATGCCAGGATAGACTCTCACTCTATCACTGTATTATTTGAAGTCAAAGGTAAAAAAATAATGATTTACAAATATTTATTTTGTTGTCAGGGAAAGAAAGGGGAGAATGGTTTGCCTGGAGTCGATGGCCTTCCTGGACCTGTTGTAAGTACTTATTTGTGTTCTAAAAATGAGAAAAATTGTACAACTCTTGTTACGGCCCACAGCACATTATTCACAACTTGTTATAATGAATGCCTATTAAACTAGTGAAATTAGAGGTAACAGCTTTTTCTGCAAATTGCTTCCTGGGGCAAAGCACTGCACCTGTTCTGAGCTCACGTATGTGGCTTTAAGGCACCCTCTTGTGGCCATTTGCTGAACTGACTCCACTAAAGTACTCTAATAGTACTCTAGTAATCTCAGCTGATGAGACACATTCTGTTCATTCATGTTTGTCAAAAGAGTACTGACTCGTGTGAAGACAGTTGATTTAAAATGCATGTTAGCTGCAGATTTGTCTAAATAAATTCACAAGCACTGATCTGCATTGTACTAAAAAAGATACTACAGTATATAGGAATAATAAACAGTATTACTAAATTAATATTGTATGCATTTATTCATATTTATGAATAAGTGTATACTATTCACATGTTATCATATCATATTATTCACATATACATATGTGAATAATATGTACATATGTATATATATACATATTCATATACAGTACATTGATATAAACATTGTTGCAGCTCTACTTTTACATTCATTTTTCTTTTTTTATATATTTAATTGATTCACTGATGTTTTAGGGTCCTCAAGGTCCACCTGGGACATCAGGAAGCCCCGGACAAACTGGACCACCTGTAAGTAATCAAGAATATTTAAATTGTCTTATGTTATACACTTAATATATGTTGTTATATCATTATGTTGATTTTTTTCAAAGGGTCTGCCTGGTGAAATTGGATTCTCTGGCAAACCAGGAGAGATGGGAAAACCTGTGAGTAATATTTTGACTTTTTTGTCAATTTTTTGCTTCAAAAATTTACTGCATGAAAGATGCTTATTTTGCTCTGTCTGCCACTTCGCATTAAAGGGTCTCCCTGGTAAAGACGGCTTGGACGGTCTTCCTGGAACTGACGGCGCTCCAGTGAGTACTGCAGCTTGGGGTCTCTTGAATAGAAACCAATAGAAAACTACTTTTCTTAAGTAAAATATAATTCTAAGTTTTAGTTGGTAGTAAGCTTGGATAATGTCAGAACTGTGGAAATACAAATATTTTCAAATTGAAACTTTGGATGTGATTCAGATCCCAATGGTGTCTGCAACAGTACACTTGTGGAAATATACATTATAGAGCCTCAGACATTATTGTGTTTAAAGGGCCCCAGAGGAGAGCGAGGAGCCGACGGAGCAGACGGAAAGCTGGGGCTTAAGGTTGGCTACCTAAACACATGCAGCTTATGAGTTTATATTCTTGTCATTATTATGGAGCTAATGTACTTGTCCTCAGGGTGATGAAGGGCCTCCGGGACCAAGGGGCCCCCCAGGAGAGAGAGTGAGTGCTCACCAGTTCCATACTTTTATAGTAATTTGTCATCATTATTTCAGCAGTAAAAGGGCTTTTTTTCCTTTCACAGGGAGAAGCTGGGGTACCTGGACAGAGCGGGGCTGATGGGGCGAGAGGAGACAGAGGTGTCGCTGTAAGTCACTATGTGCAACTATGCACTATATACTACTGATCCTTTTGAAAGTTGGAAATACATGAGATATGAGACATTGGCTGTTTGCTGGTCTTTTAAATGTGCAGTGAGTTGGGCCTTTGACTCACGCACAGCCAAAGCCACTAGAGGACAGCACTTTTACCACTGGCTGCATGGGTGAGGTCACTCCTGAGTTCACACCGCCAACGCTGGAACGCTGAAGCCTCGTGCACCAGACGCACATTCTCTAGTTGTCAGACGCAGGGGACTTCACACCTGAAGTCCTGGCCAGCGCTGGAAGTGGCGGAAGTAGCAGGCGGACTTTGATGCTAACAGAGTTAAGCTAGCGGCTTTTTGTGTTAAGTTAATCTCCAATAAGGCAGCTCCGCAGTGTCTCTGTGTCCAGAGACCTTCCAGAGACTTTATATAACAGTAGTATGTGTTCACGGAGGTGCGCAATAAGTTTATTTTATTATTAAACGGTACTTCCGCATCGGCAAACACACTCGAAGCAGTTAAAAGTCACGGAAGCGTGAAAACGCATATTTTCACAAACACTATGTCCCCCATTGTCAACCCTGGTTTTAGTCCTGGTCGAGCTCCTGTTTTGGCTGTTTACAGTATGTTCAGTCTGCTCGCTCAGGCCAAGCCCCGGCGATCCAAGATGGCGCCCTATTCAAATGAATGGTTGTGCTCAGTGGCGCTTTGTGACGGCATGGGAGCTGAAAGATTAGCGGAAGTTGCCTGAAACTCGCAAAGATCTATGGGAAACTCGCCTGTATTTGGGCATCGTCTGGTCCTCCCGGTTCTGCGCAGTGGATGATCTCCCATAATGCGTTGCGCCAAACACGCGTGTGTGGGTCTCACACATGGATGTATTATATTAACTGGATAGGGTATTACTAGCTTGTAGCCGAATAACCCATGTGCTCAGGGGATTCTCGCGGTACTGCAGACTGAACCAGACTAAATTCACGTGGGCTACCTAGAAATTTTTCCCATAGAACTCAATGCATATTAAAACAGCTCGACCTCAGCTGACAGAGAACCTACAGCTTTAATAAAGATCGGATTTTGTGGGGATTTTAGTGTCCCTTGTCATCCTGAACTTTTTTTCTTCTTAAATCCTTCGGTTTTGTTTAAATCCACACTTTAGTGCCACAAACTCTGCTCGTCTGGCTCTTGCTCTAACTCCCGCTCTGATGAACTGCTCTGATTGGTCAGAGCGCAGCCGAGCCCCTCTGTGCACGTGCGTGAGACCTGGTGTGAGACCCACACACGCGTGTTTGGCGCAACGCATTGTGGGAGATCATCCACTGCGCAGAACCGGGAGGACCAGACGATGCCCAAATACAGGCGAGTTTCCCATAGATCTTTGCAAGTTCCAGGCGACTTCCGCTAATCTTTCAGCCCCCATGCCGTCACAAAGCGCCACTGAGCACAACCATTCATTTGAATAGGGCGCCATCTTGGATCGCCGGGGCTTGGTCTCACACCGGGTCTCACGCACGTGCACAGAGGGGCTCGGCTGCGCTCTGACCAATCAGAGCAGGTCATCAGAGCGGGAGTTAGAGCGAGAGCCAGAGGAGCAGAGTTTGTGGCACTAAAGTGTGGATTTAAACAAAACCGAAGGATTTAAGAAGAAAAAAAGTTCAGGATGACAAGGGACACTAAAATCCCCACAAAATCCGATCTTTATTAAAGCCGTAGGTTCTCTGTCAGCTGAGGTTGAGCTGTTTTAATATGCATTGAGTTCTATGGGGAAAATTTCTGGGTAGCCCACGTGAATTTAGTCTGGTTCAGTCTGCAGTACCGCGAGAATCCCCGGAGCACGTGAGTTATTCAGCTACAAGCTAGTAATACCCTATCCAGTTAATATAATACATCCATGGCTCAGGCCGCTCATGTCCTCGTGACCACTTTGCGGCTCTCTGATTGGCCGCAAAGTGGTCAAGGAAAGGTTTAGCAATATTTATCTCCTGCGTGCATCGACTTTCCACTCCTGCACCTCCCCTCCGACTTTGCCACGCACTCCGTGCGTCTCTACTGAGCAGTCCGTGCGTGCATTCCGAGACGCACATGCATTTTGACGCTCGAACGTGCGTCACCATTGACTTTGCATTAAAAGCCGAGGCAACGCATGATCCGGTCTGAACGCGGCTTTAGACTCCCCTGCTCATACCTAGTCTCGTGTCTCCTGCAACATACTAAAATAGGTCTGTTAATACGCAGTAAAAACGTGTCCTATCACAACTAGAACCAGGAAGTATGATCACATTAGTTCTGTTCTCAGGTCTCTGCACTGGCTTCCTGTGGCTCAGAGAATAGACTTTAAAGCACCTCTGGTTGTGTTCAAGTCTCTCCATGACCTCGCACCAGAGTACATCTGAGACATGTTAGTGCCATATGAACCAAGAGGAGCACAGGAACTGGCCTCCTGCTGGTCCCCAGATTCAGGACTAAACAAGGGGAGGCCGCGTTTCAGATTTGTGCAGCTGAGCTTCCTGAAAATGACAGGCTTTGACAGCGTTCAAATCCAGATTCAAACAGTTTAGTAAGTAAGTCATGTTTATTTATATAGTGCATTTTACAGACCAAGGTCACCCAAAGCGCTTTACAATGTTCAGAGTTCAGATATTGTGAATCTTGTTGTTTTACCTACTAATAAAGGTAGATTGATTCATTATGTAAAATGTATCCAAGCACTTGCTGTGGCAATAAACGTATTTATAAGAAAATATAAAACTTGGGATCTTTAATATAGTCATTTTATTCTCTTCTTTAGAATTAGTTACTGGACAACCTTTTGTATGTTAACGGGACAACTGAGAAGAGCTGCTAAAGTAACCAGGCTTCACACCCACAATCATAAAACCGATTTATCAGAATTATTATTGTAATAATTGTGTGTTGTGTTTTGTTATTGGCTTTGTTATTGTTTGAGATTAAATCAGCTGTTGTTTGCTGTTGGTAAAAGAAGAAACCTTTTGGAAATGTATCTATAAATATTTAATGCCAATAACATGAATATGTCTGCCATTCAAATCCCAGTCTCAGCCACAATAATGTGTGTACCTCTGCTGTGTCTCTGTGCTCTAGGGAGAAAGGGGCATAGACGGGCACATCGGGCCTAAGGGAGAAAAGGGCGACAAGGTAAAAAGATTCATACAACATACAAAAGTGAAATATCCCGGTAGATTTATTGTGTATTTGACTCCTCCGACACTGTCCCAGTCGTATTAGGGGTACTTATGTAAATATTTCTTCAAATTGTGTGAGCTTATTGTCTCTACCTTCAGGGTGAAGTGGGTGCTCGGGGACTTCCAGGAGCGCCAGGAAATGTGAGTGTGTGGATAGGACTTATTGCGAGAATACTTTTTAGTGAGGGGAATAGTAAGATATATTTGCATTTATCCTCAGGTTGCAAGTGTCATTCCTGAACCCGGTGAACCGGTAAGCTGGTTTATATGTATTTACGCAATGCAGATTTAACTAATCAATGCTGGTCCAGCCACAACTTAAGAGATGGTTCCTTCTGACATGCCTTCAGAACAGTTTTTCTGTTTATACAATCTTGAAAGAACCTTTTGTTCAATCAAGATCAATATTTAGATGCATGCAACAATATCCTATGTCTGTAGAGGCCCATATTGGACAGACATCCCTAAAGTAAGTGTTATTTTCATAATACTTCAAAAATACGTTCTCGCTGATTGGCTTTACCTTATAGCGTTTAACATGTTCACATCGCCGGCAGTAAGTCGGACCTGTTCCCAGTGCGTATTGGCCTCCGGTTATGATCACTGTTTACCGCTGAGTCGAAAGGAAAACTTCTGGATTCACAGCTCAATATATGCTACCATAAATCTTAAAGCAGTTGTTGACATATAGATTTTATTATATTTGTACAGCATCTCTGTGACAATTACTCAAGATATCAGATCATGCACTACCATAAGTAATTAAGAGGATTAATGTGACAGTTGATCCTGGACTTCTAACCCTAACCCAATGACCCCTGGTTGGTTGTTTTTAATTACTTGTTGTTGGAGTTTTTTCCCCCTATTGCTCTGTGTCATATTCCATGAACCTATTTTTCTGTATTAAAAGGGAAAACCTGGAGAGAAAGGAACAAAGGGTGATCAAGGGAAACCTGGAGAGATTGTGAGTCATTCTTTGTAATTTTGAGTCCTGGAATTCACCTTCACTTTTTCTGCATGTGACAATGCAGCACAATAGCCACTAGAGGTCACTAGACAACAAGGAGGCTTCCTCCAAAGCACATGAAGAGAGCCGAATGCAACAAGACATCATCACACGTCTCACAACGGTCTCATAACAAAGCACACAACAAAATGTTACTTATACAATGAATGATTCAATGATTTGAATGAAAAATATTATTTCAATTTCAACCACATGTTTCATTTGTACTTTTTCAACTTGACTATTTTTTGTGTGTAATACTCAAGGGCCAGAGAGGGTTACCTGGAGAACAAGGCTTTAAGGGTGGCCCCGGACTGCCAGTAAGTTAAGGAAGGAAGGAAATGTAATTAGTAATAAAAGAGTTTGTAATACGTGTTTGTACCGATTCACTTCCTTTGTCTTTGTCCAGGGCCCTAAAGGAGATACTGGACTTCAGGGGGAGACAGGACGAGTGGGCGACCCTGTATGTAGAAACATAGAGCCTCATTGTGAATTCTTGTATAATTTAATGTACGTGACTTTTATTGTGGAGTCCGTGTGACGACTGTGGTTCTGTGGTTCTCTCAGGGGCCACCTGGCATTGCTGGGTCTCAAGGAGCTCGGGGTCTGCCAGGAAATGTGGTACGTAGCACTGTTCAATATGGGGGGAAAAATATATATATTTGCAAATTATTTGGCAACTTATTGAAATAGTTAAACCGCAGAAAAAAACATGCAAGTTATTAAATTAAATTGTGCATATTCTGTCAGTTTAGGAGAATGAACAAGCCAGTGGATAAGGTATTTTTAATACATTTGACCAAGACAAAGCTTCAATGATGCTCCTGGAGAACATCTTTATTTTAATTTCATTCTGCAGTCATTAAAGAATGATCTAAATCCAAAACCTCTTCTCTGCATGTTTAAGTGCATACACATCTATTCAGACCTTTTCACTGTGACCTTAAATTCACTCTGTCAATTTGTATCTGTATGCAACTGTTTTTTGCTTTATACTTTATAAGGCGACCTTGATTGCCCAGAAAGGCGCCGTATACATGATATGTAATATTATTATTTTTATTATTATTAAGTCTCTGTAAGATTTGAAAAACAACTAATAGATTACTTAATCAGTCAACAAATATTGGAATTGATTAGTTGCGATTAATTGATTAACTTGTTAAATCTGTAAAGCAGTGGTAGCGGTACGATTTCTAACGAGTAAAGTTCACTGTTAGGTGCAAACATATCTGAGTGATCACAATATTGTCTTGACGTGGTGTTTATTTTGTAGGGTTTACCGGGCGTCATTGGGCCGCCAGGGCCTGCTGGACTCCGAGGAGACAAGGTCAGTGGAGACGGCAGAATAACAAATGTGACAGTGCCAGAAGAGACTGCAATATTCACTGGTACTTTTCCACTACGTCAAACCTTACATACATCGAACCAAACAGAGGAGCCGCCATTTTATTTGTTTTCTGTATTTACAACTCCTCGTTTGATAAATCTATATCCACATCGATTCATGTTTTATTTAAAATGTTCCTCATTTATCTGAATGAGCTTAGAATGTTTCTGTCATTTTAGAACTCTACAATCTTTAAGAAAGCAGATCAATATGGCTGTTGTGCAAGTAATGCTGTTTATTTTCCTGTTCCATTTCTACATCGTTTTAGGGTGACCCAGGTAAACCAGGACCGATCGGCAACATTGGTCCACCTGGGGAGCCTGGATTGATTGGGCCTCCTGGACCGGCTGGGAGAGGAAAGGATGGTCAAAATGTAAGTAAGAGATGTGTGTCATAGAATTTAGAAAATATCTGTTTTAAATACATTTGCCGTAATGGCTGCACACACATACAAACACAACAGCATGAGGTAGTGTAGAGAGTTATTTGAAGGATGTTTTGAATGCATCACATCAGAACAGCCTGAGTAGACACGTTCGGTGCTGTGTTTTCTTCATCATTTTTCACTCCACATGTGGCATATGTGCTGATGGCGCAGAAACAAACAGGAAACACTGTAACGACACATCAGATTAAAGCAACATGTGCCAACTACACAAGAGCACCAGCCCTTTTTACAGCTGCCAAGTGTGGCCTCTGGGCCTGCTCACGTTGTGTGTGTCACAAAGAACTTGGTGTCCCCATGAGACGGCAACAACAACGTCCAAGGATTCAATGTTTTTGAACCCTAATCTCCCAAGGCCATTCACGTTGTCATGGTAACATCTCCTTGTTGGCCTGGTGCAAGGACCAGACGTTTTCCTAGTATTGTATTGTTTGCGTGAGTAATTGTAGGTGGTCAGATAACCTGATGACAAGGGAACAGGAGGAAGAAGGCCCCATCATAACACACTGACATACCAATGTAAGGCACAAGTATTTGTGGGAATTGGTTATTGACGTCACATGTCATCACTATGATCAAAATGCTCAATATGGCCAAAGCCAAAGATCCAAGAAATTACTGAACTCAGTCATTTATATTGGAAATGAAGTGGCATCCTCTAGAGTCTCTAGACATGACACATTTTTCAAATATATATTTTATATTTTCAGGAGTAAACTAGTGCTATCAATAATATGGAAAACCTCAACAATTATAACACTACAACAGGCCTCCTCGATGACAATGTTTAAAACCAGGTTAGAGACAGTTCTGTTTAGCTGTGCATACAACTGAGGGATTTTATATTTTTATCTTTCTTTTTAATGTTCTGTGATTATTTATGATTTTAATGCTTTCTTATTATATTCAGCACTTTGAATTGCCTTGTGTATGAATTGTGCTATATAAATAAACTTGCCTTGCCTTGCCTTACAAACCTCTTGTGTTCAACACTGTATTGAGATTGATGTTGGACTGGTGTCTATTTCAGGGAGAACCAGGACCACAAGGAATTCAAGGACCTCCAGGACTGAAGGCAAGGACTAAATAATATGCAGAGCCATGACCTTTAAACTTTTTTTTCTCTTAAGAATCTTTTGTGGCAGAAATGTATGTTATACTTCATCCTGTCTGCCACAGTCCTTTATGAATGCTATTAATTTTTAAGGGGCCACAAGGGCCAAGGGGAGACCCAGGACCCCAGGGTGAAAGAGGGCTACCTGGAGAGGGCAAGAATGGACCACCGGTATGGACACTATCTTTTGCATGAGTTTGAATGTATGACAATTTTACAATGATCTCCATTTACAGGGACCTGCTGGAAATAACGGAGAAACTGGACCTGCGGTGATTATTTTGATATAAATGATAATGATATATGAAGTGAACCATTTGAATTGTTTTCTTATAATTTAAGGGATTGAGAGGACCACCAGGCGTTGCTGGTCCCCAGGGTCCTGCTGGGCATAATGTAAGTGAACTTAAAACAATAAATATATACGGCTAATAGTTTTTGGGGAGTTCTTGTGTTAACTGTGCCATTGTAATTATAAACTTAATGAAAATGACTATTTCCATCTCAGGGGCTACCTGGAAGGCCAGGAGAGAAGGGATCCCCTGGAGAGCCTGTAAGTACACTCTAACCAAGGCCAAGGCCAGTCCGAACTTTGTAGTGGATAAATGAGTATATTATCAAACAAACTAAAATGTGTTGGACCTGTTTTTCCTTGATAAAAGATTGGACAAGTAGATATTGGTTATTGGTTTCTCCGTGCTTCTTATCTCTTGTTGGGACACGTGAGACAGTGTCAGGCAGGTTTTAAAGAGATATTCTGTCTTTCCTCAGAAAGAATTTAGTTTGACATTTATGACTATTAGCTTGTTTTCTGTAAATTTGGTGTAAATCTTTTGGGATTCTGTAATTCTGTATCCTTGTAGTTACGGGTTGTGTTTTTTATTGTTAGAGCAAACAACAAAAGTTGTTTTTTCCCCCTCATTCTATGCTTTTCTCCAAACCAAAACAACAGCAAGATGAATCTATGTTCTCCTCGCTACCCGCAGCTGCTCTCATGGCAAAAAGCACGCTGGTATCGCACAAGTGAATAATCCTTTCTGTTTCTCTTTTCTTCTACACAGGGTAAAGTGTCTGACCTGCCGGATCTCAAAGTAAGACTCTTTCTAATGTTGTGTTTGGATGTCTGACTGGATCGCTGACATCGCATCTGTGTTGTCTCTAAAGGACATATGCTCAGATTGCCCAGCGGGCCCCCCTGGCCCACCTGGCATGCCCGGCCTTCCTGGGGATAAGGGGCACACAGGTCCCCCAGGAAAAAGTGGACAAGATGGCTTCCAGGTCAGACAAAATGATATGTATCCAATGTCCAATGAGATTGTGTGTTTCCTTTATATAGAAGCTCTCCTAAATAAGCCATGAGGTGCAGCCCGCTCTTTGTTCATCAATCTCCGCAGTGCAGAGTCGTGAAACTGTGCATCATTAACTCGTCCTCCTCTGAGGGCACCACTGAACCATTAGGACCCTCTCACAGCTCAGGCTGCTGCTGGACACAGACTGATGGGCTGTCTTGTCATTACAGGGCCCAGCAGGACCAGTCGGACCTCAGGGGCCTCCAGGGACTGATGGCACAAAGGCAGGTTCACACACACACTGCACCCTTAAAGATCTAATGTGCAAATACTCCAATACTTAGAACAGCTTTTAAAGAGAAAACATCCTTTTGATGTATTCTGAATGAATCATACACTTTTGGCACAAAAACAGGTACACAGCCAAAACATAGTAGTATTCCATGAGGCGTGTTGCTGCTCTCCTTTCCCAATCCCTACACAACGTATACATAAAACCAAATGTACGTCACCTGCATTGAATGGCCATCACAGGCACTAAGCATATCCTCATTCATCTGTGTTTTCACTGATCAGCCAAAACACAAACAGACAAAGCTCAACAAACACAAAACAACATGGGAAATGAATCATGCAGACCTTTTTGAATGAGGGAATCTGTTCCGTGAAACAAATACAGTATGTCTGCTCTGAATATGATCTTAGGGTTACTAGGGTTATGGTTTGATCTTTTGAAAGGGATGTTAAAAAATAAAAGTAAAGAAAAATTAAAGCCGCAAGCAGCGTCGAACGGCCCTCGCCGCACCGCGCAACCTCCCGCACCCCCCGCACCGCGCGCACCACGCCGCCCTGCACCACGCCGCCCTGCACCACGCCGTCCCGCATCACTTCGCCCCACACCAAGCCGCAACGCGCCGCTCCACAACGCCCCGCACTACGCCGCACCACACCGTACCACGCAGCACCGCGCATAAGAGGTGGCGCCGCCGTGTGATGATTGGTTCCCGTAGCCATAGAAGAAGTTAGTCAAATTGTAATGAATATGATAAGTAGAGCTGGTTTGGCTCCCCATGTAAACTTTGACTCGGTCTGTAGGGGGCGCTAATGGGCCAATTTATAATATTTCACTTTGACCTGACCTAAACCCTGGATTTGAACAATGGATTCAAGTTTAATGCAAATCAGACTTTGTTTGTGCAAAAGGGAAAAAAAATGAATGTTGTCAAAAACAGCCAAAAAACCCCTCACATTTTGCCGCTCTGCTGCTCAAACAACGTTTCACTGATTCGTCTAGGTCAATTAAAAGTGAAATAAAAGAACTTGGCTCATTAGTGCCCCTACAGATGGAGTTGACATCTCTCGAGCAAAAACAATAGGCCCTTTCCCCGTTCGGGGCTCAGGCCTAATAATACCCCCATGGGATTTTTCGGAGGTCAAGTTTTTTGTAGAGCCATGAAATTCGGTACACATGTTCCTCTAGTCAAGACATGAAAAAAATGTAATTATGGCCCCGCCCTCTGACATACAGGAAGCCCATAAATTTCACTGCAAAATGGAAAAATTAACAGCAATCATTTTCATACATGTCGGTTGGAAAGCGACTCCTCCTCGGCCGTTTGACTGATTCGCCTCAAAATCGCTCCAGATCATCTCAACACATGTACCTTGAAAATAACTTCGGCGATTTTTCTTCAGTGAAACGTTGTTTGAACAGGGGAGCAGCAAAATGTGACCTTTTTTTTGGCCGTTTTGGACAATATTAAATTTGCTCCCGTTTGCACATACAAAGTCTGATTTGCACAAAACTTTAATACATTGTTTAACTCTAGGGTCTAGGTCAATTGAAAGTGAAATAAAAGAATTTGGCTCATTAGTGCCCCTACAGATGGAGTCAAAGTTTTCAGAGTTTTTCATACCAAAAACTCTGAAATAGTCTGTAGGGGGCGTTAATGAGCCAAGTTCAAATATTTCACTTTCAAATGACCTAGACCCTAGAGTTGAACCATGGATTCAAGTTTTGTGCAAATCGGAATTTGTATGTGTAAACGGGAGCAAATAGAATGTTGTGAAAAACGGCCAATAAACACTCACATTTTGCCGCTCCGCTGCTCAAGCAACGTTTCACTGATCAAAAATCCCTGAGGTCATTTTGATGGTACATGTGTTTAGACAATGTGGAGTGATATGGAGGCCAATCGGTGAAACGGCCGAGGAGGAAAATGATTGCCGATCATTTTTCCATTTTGCAGTGAAATTTATGGGCCTCCTGTTTGTCAGAGGGCGGAGCCATGGTAACATTTCGGTCGTATCTTGACTTGAGGAACATGTGTACCGAATTTCATGGCTCTACGACAAACTTGACCTCTGAAACTCCCATTGGCTGTTGTAGGTGGCGCTGTTCTGGCATTTTTTGAGTCCCATAAAAATAAACACCAAAATATCAAATTTTTCACCAGGTCTGATGTTTGGGCAAAATTTTACAACTTTTCATGCATGTTCAGGGGGTGAAATTAAGGCTCAAAGTGCAGAATTTGACATCTCTCGAGCAAAAACAATAGGCCCTTTCCGCGTTCGGGGCTCGGGCCTAATAATACCCCCATGGGATTTTTCGGAGGTCAAGTTTTTTGTAGAGCCATGAAATTTGGTACACATGTTCCTCTAGTCAAGACATGAAAAAAATGTAATTATGGCCCCGCCCTCTGACATACAGGAAGCCCATAAATTTCACTGCAAAATGGAAAAATTAACAGCAATCATTTTCATACATGTCGGTTGGAAAGCGACTCCTCCTCGGCCGTTTGACTGATTCGCCTCAAAATCGCTCCAGATCATCTCAACACATGTACCTTGAAAATGACTTCGGCGATTTTTCTTCAGTGAAACGTTGTTTGAACAGGGGAGCAGCAAAATGTGACCTTTTTTTGGCCGTTTTGGACAATATTAAATTTGCTCCCGTTTGCACATACAAAGTCTGATTTGCACAAAACTTTAATACATTGTTTAACTCTAGGGTCTAGGTCAATTGAAAGTGAAATAAAAGAATTTGGCTCATTAGTGCCCCTACAGATGGAGTCAAAGTTTTCAGAGTTTTTCATACCAAAAACTCTGAAATAGTCTGTAGGGGGCGTTAATGAGCCAAGTTCAAATATTTCACTTTCAAATGACCTAGACCCTAGAGTTGAACCATGGATTCAAGTTTTGTGCAAATCGGAATTTGTATGTGTAAACGGGAGCAAATAGAATGTTGTGAAAAACGGCCAATAAACACTCACATTTTGCCGCTCCGCTGCTCAAGCAACGTTTCGCTGATCAAAAATCCCTGAGGTCATTTTGATGGTACATGTGTTTAGACAATGTGGAGTGATATGGAGGCCAATCGGTGAAATGGCCGAGGAGGAGTCGCTTTCCAACCGACATGTATGAAAATGATTGCCGATCATTTTTCCATTTTGCAGTGAAATTTATGGGCTTCCTGTTTGTCAGAGGGCGGAGCCATGGTAACATTTCGGTCGTATCTTGACTTGAGGAACATGTGTACCGAATTTCATGGCTCTACGACAAACTTGACCTCTGAAACTCCCATTGGCTGTTGTAGGTGGCGCTGTTCTGGCATTTTTTGAGTCCCATAAAAATAAACACCAAAATATCAAATTTTTCACCAGGTCTGATGTTTGGGCAAAATTTTACAACTTTTCATGCATGTTCAGGGGGTGAAATTAAGGCTCAAAGTGCAGAATTTGACATCTCTCGAGCAAAAACAATAGGCCCTTTCCCCGTTCGGGGCTCGGGCCTAATAATATTTTCCGGATTTTTTAAAGTTATCATAGGTGTTTGTTTGTTTGTCTGTGAGCTACATACTTCCAAAAGTTGTTTGGTCTGCGCTCTACGGCTGCTTTTCTAGAAATAAAACGATTTGTAAAAAATTTTACATTGTACGTACATTCCAGCTGGCATGGTCTTGCTTGATGACTTGATGCCCTTGCTGCTGTCAGGGCAGTTGGAGAGAGATTAGCCATTTATAATAAGCAACATTATGAATACAGATTCAAACAAGTTAATACGATTATTACAGTGTTCCACCTGTACGTATGCATACAAACCCCTGCTGAAGGGTAAGACCTGCACCTGATCTGTGTGAAGATGAATCCAGCTGGAACGACTCGCATTAAAATGCTCGTCACAGGCGTGCTGAGTTTGTACTGTATGGATTAACCTGCTCGGATCCTTTAGGTTTGGAGAAATAGCTAAGAGGTTTGAAAAATTTGCTTGTGTAATACTTTTCAACCATGCGGCGCAATGTTTGCTGGGACATGCAGAAATGAAAGTCTATGTACTAGATTAAAATCATAAGACTGAATAGGCAGAATTCAGGGCATTATGCATTTATATAATGCGTACTTTAAACTCTTCTGACACAAACGGAACAGTATAAAGATGTTGTTTTGCTTCATCACAGGGCATCAAAGGAGACCGAGGCCCAGCTGGTTCTGCAGGAGACAAAGGAGACAAGGTATTGTTTAGGCCTACAATAAAGACTCCTAGTATACAATACAATACTATACTTTATTATGTGTTGTTTGTTTTCGCAGGGTCACCCAGGTCCCCCTGGTCATCCCGGGCCACCTGGAATAATGGGATCAGCTGTAAGTGCACATGTTTCAATGCTGTTAAATTGAATCCATTTATTTGGGAGTTAGCCCCTCAGTGGCCCACCTTTCTATTTTTATGGGCCTCCCCTGACACTGTGCTTGTCCTCTGCAGGGTAGCGATGGACAACCTGGCCCTCCTGGTCCCCCAGGGCCCCCTGGAGAAAAGGTCAGTCAGCATGCGGTATACTCAGAAAAGCTATTACCTATGTGTCATTATTGTACAGAGCTTCTCTTGCTACATGTAGGTCAGCCTGGCTCGTGGTAATAGTGCTCATTAATCATTACTGTTCTCTGTGATGGTGACCCGTTTGTCTGTTTGTTTTGTACCAGGGCAAAGAGGGTCTCAAAGGGATTCAGGGACCACCAGGTCTTCCGGGATTAATGGTAACAGACAATAATGAAGATACATTCTCGTGGTATTTGATGAATGCTGTGAATAAAAACATCTGTACTTTAGGGCCCAGCTGGAAAAATTGGAAAAGATGGTCACCCAGGTGAACAGGGGGAGTCTGTAAGTAAATCAGTTGACAGGAATTGTTGTTACTAATATACATCATCAATATAAAACGTGTCTCATGTTTTACACTATCTTTCTCATTCTGGCAAAATTATAGGGCAAACAAGGAGAGCCTGGACCTCCCGGACCGTCGGGGCTCAGGGGACTTCCCGTAAGCAGTCCTATTAATATGGACGACATGCAAGAATCAGGTTGTGCTGATGAGTCACTTACTGTTGTTTATCCACTTGCAGGGATTTAAAGGCCACAGAGGGGAACCTGGACTTCCAGGGCAGAAGGTCAGAGTCTCTAATGAACTTTTTCAATTGCCGTCAGCAGTAACATGCTCCATCACTAATAGGAACTGCATAGGCAATGTATTTCAGGCCAAAATAAAAGCAATACTTGTAGAACAATTCTACTTAGTAACCAGGCAAGCTCAGTATACTGTCAAAATGGAGACCGTAGTTTACTGTGACAGCACTGCAGAGATTTTCGCTATGTCAAAATGCCAGAGAATGCGACACATCGATGTGGAAGAAAAAGTCTCCCACTTCTCAGGGTTGTATTTCTGTGGCTGTGATAGTCGAAAAAAGAAAAAATAGAGAAACTCAAGACAGCCAGATTTTGTCTACTGCTGTAGGCACGCTCTCATAAAACATGTTAAGACTTTTGAGACAGACTTTCAAACAAAACAAATAATGGAACTGTGTAAAAAAAAAAAAAAAAAACATTTCATCACCCATTTTCACATACATTTAAAGTAGTTTTGGCCTCTGTCATAGCTTTAGATCAGATTTTTCTGACAGAAACGTGAAATAGAGAGGACAGCTAATCTAATGATATGAGAGCGACAGCATGTTGTTGTTGGATTTGTTCACAATAAATATGAAATATTTTGCCCCTGCCTTAATTAGGTGCGACGTTAGCTTAATTAATTTACTAATTCTTACACACACAATTGATTATATTCATGATGTATGAAGCAGTAAAGCTATTCTGGTTTCAAGAATCAAGAAAATAGACAATTGGACCTCCTGAGTAAAAAACGATGTTGGTGTTTACTTTTTGGAATTCCTATGGGTTGTATACAATCGGTTTACTATGTGGTCTACAGTTTATCAAATTATATACATTATATGAGAACATAAATTGATCTACTGGATTCTAAATGTAGATTAGTTGCTAGTTCATAAATGTGAGTCTGACCAGGCTGTTTCCTCATCTCTCCAGAGAAACATCCTTTTGGCTCACCACTGTAGTGTTCTCCTATTTATTACCTAACAGTCTGTCAGGCAGTTGTTGAGAAGGACAGGCCTGTGTTACTGTGGCCACAATAGAATCATTATAGAAGGAAGAGGCAGACAGCCGACCTCCCATTAAAGCACACTGAGCACTCTTTCCACACACGATGACACCGACTCCACACTAAGCATAATTTGTGTCAATAAATGCCACTCATGAGGAAATAATGGCCTGTTGTTATTACTCAGCAAATCAAACTACGAGTCGTTTTTATACAGTGAAAGCATGGATTATACCATCGCTGTAGAGGTGGACGTTATTTCATACATGGTTGTTTACTAGTTTATTTGTTTTGGACAGTGCATGTTCATGAACACACCTCTTCTGTATGTTTGTTTCAATCAATCATCAGCTGTCCTTCTTCATTAGTGTGTTACAAAAGGTTTGAATGAGCACTAAACAAATTGTGTCTTTTTCAGGGTGAAGATGGGAAGCCCGGTGCTCCTGGTCGAGAAGGAAAATCAGGGAAAGAGGTAAACTAACACTTGTCAAAGTTGTTGACTGGAGAATATGTGTACGTTACGACCCACTGTCGGTGGTCCGTCAAAAATGTACCCGCACCAAAGTTCAACTCGAGGATTCGTCACAGTGGCATCAGCCAGTGGCAGGCGTCTAGTGATATTTGCCGGATCTAGTGGCTGATGATTGTGCCAAAGGTGAACAGACCTTCTTCTTGTAGTGTATTGTGGTCCTTGCAACAACAGTTGTTTTTCATGGCACAGTGTGTCAGAACTTTGACTGAGGAGAAGCGGTGCTATTGATGGGGGGGGCACACTATGATTTATTTATACAGCACATTTCATACACAACGGCTACTCAGTGCTTCAATCCGTCAAGGCCTGATGCTCATTGTTGATGAAAGTGTGTGATACACACAACTAAATCTCAAGCAGCTTGCAGAACCAGAGATGGATCAAAAAAAGGTTTGCTCAACTCAGGAGCTCCATCAATAATATATGTACTGCCTGCTTGACGTATAAGATAAGATATATTTTATTAATCTCACACAAGAGAAATTTACATATCACATTTGGCAAGGATAGAAACACTCAAGATTGTGCAAAAAGTAAGAAATGTGCAAACATGTTTCAGGCCCTAAACTTAACTCTCCGAATATGTGCAATAGTGCTACCTCCCCCATGACGCTTTGTGCAAAAAGAGCAGTTGGAGAAAAATTCTCTGATTGTATTTTATGAGCAGTTTTTTTTAACTTGGCCTTCCTATTGGAAATTGCTTTTTGGCCCAGCAGGATTTTTGGATGTAATGGTCCCATTGAAGTGGCCTTTAGTCCCATACGTATCATAGGCTAAAGTTAGCAAAACCTTATCCAGATATGTAGAAAAGATCAATAAGTGGAGCACAGTCAGTATAACATTAAGACTGCAGTAAAACAGCACCAAAGTCACGTCACTGCAGTCACCGTTATGATATGTAAAGGGGGAGGAGTGCTCTGTCTATTTGTGTGGTTGTTTCTAGCTCTGCAGGTAGTGGTGAAGCAGCAGATAGAGTCAAATGTGTGTATACAATACTTTGTCTTTTTTTCCTTTACATCTTTACTTAGTTTTTCTCTGCCACAAATACATTCACATAGACCTGTTAAGAAGGTTGCATATGACAAGACTGAAAGATTTGATGTTTGTTGCAGGGTCCAAAAGGGCCCCCTGGACCCGAGGGCATGATGGGACCTCGAGGAGAGTCGGTCAGTCCACTCACAGCACATTCAGCATCTCTCTGTATCATAGTTATAGATTCTAGGCAGCAGTGACAGAGTGACTTCAAACGCTCTTTGTTCTTTATTCTTTTGGCAGGGCAAACCAGGTGAGCCAGGACCATCAGGAAAAGCCGGCCTTCCAGGAACCCCTGTGAGTAATGCTTGTGGTGTTATAGGAACATTAAGTACAGTATATAACAAAAGGCAAGACTCTTATTTCTGTGCAATCTGGAAGGATAGTGGGTGTGCTGTGGGCAGAAGGAGGCAGAGTTTCAAAAAAGAGATGAGCTGTCAGTTCAATATATTACAGAAATAGTCTTCTTAACTGTGGCCCTTCCCCTGAAGAAAAAGTGCTTACATTATAGGATTATATTAAACATGGAGGAATCACTCAAGGCTCTTTAGTGTGTGTTTGTTTTCATGTTGGGTATAAACATGTAACGTAAGTAAACACTCTTTCCAATTCACTTCAGTACATGGTAGTATTTCTTTATCACAAATGGAATTTGTAGATGACATATTTAGTAAATATGGCTTTTATCGAAGCATTTGTTCCTCCACATCTCTGAATCGTGCTGTGGTGGTGCAAGATGCAAGTCTGTATCTCGGTCACACTTAGTGATTGTGCTGAACACACAGTTCCTGTGAAGTCTCTGATGGTGCAATGAATGGATCTAGTCTGAATCACAATGGCAGACCCTAATGTGAGAGGATGTATAATATAACTCTACTAGAACAGGCCGCTGTAGAGAGGGGGGCTGGTGCAGTGGTCCTTCTCTCCAGTCACACAGGGACTAATGCTCGGTTCAGACATTTGACCGGGTACTGCTCTTTTGCTCTTCACCTAAGTTTAGAGCACAAACATATTGAAAAACATTGAACCAAGCCTTTGATAACTCAACCAGCAGCTTGTTCTAAAGCCACATTGTAAATATGAATTCTAATCTGCTTGATCAAACATGCCCCAGCAGCAGACTCATTTATGTGATGTGTTATCCAGGCCAGTGCTGCATGTCCAAAAGAAATCCTGCTAAATGTTAATCTTTCTGAATCCTCAGTAATGAGCATGCTTTCATAGTACAAGTACAGTAGTCCACGTGAGCAGCATGTGATGTGTGCTCTCTGCAGGGGCTGATGGGTAACAAGGGAGAGCCAGGCAGCCCTGGATTACCCGGCTTTAGTGGGCCCAAAGGACCTGCGGTAAGTACTCAATATCATGTCTTTAACCAAAGCACTATTGCATCTCTCAACCTGCAACCTTTTACATTTCTCTTTCTCCTCGAGTCTACGTCATGTCTTGTATGAATCCGGCGATGGTGATTAAAGGGGCTTTACACTTCCTGCTTGGGTCATAGGGTCAGAGTACAATAGGACATATGCATGTGTATATTAGACCAGTGCCAAATCTGGTGCCACTGACTTTAACTCACATTCATTTCTGTAGATGCTGCTTCATTTCTTCTGACAAAGAATATTGCTATAAGGTAAACTAAGGATTTACTGTGTTTCCTTACAGGGTCCTCCTGGTCCTAACGGCCCCGAGGGTAAACAGGTACAGTCTTCATCTTAAATGTGAATAATTTCTGTTCTTTCAATAATCTCATTCCTCTTGATCTATAGGGAATGCCCGGCCGAGGTGGAGATCGAGGAATAAAGGGGGATAAGGTGGGCTGAGGCAGAGGCTGTTGAGATGAAGAAGCCAAATATAAACTTGTACTGACCTAATGCGCACATGGTTTTGTCAGGGTGACCCTGGCACAAAAGGAGACAAAGGACATGGAGGAGATCCAGGAATCCCAGGAAACCCTGGCCCCCCGGGCAGGAAGGGACACACTGGCATGATGGGAATGACAGGACCACAAGGAGAAATTGGACCACCTGGACCTCAGGGACAGTCTGGAAACCCTGGTCAGCCTGGACCAAGAGTAAGTCCTCCTTCAAATGCTCCACATTGAGAAATGCAAGTGCATGCTTTGGCTAATACATGTATTTCTCAGGGAGAGTCAGCGTCACTGGAGCAGATGAGACGTCTCATCCAGGAGGAGCTGGCCAAACAACTGGATGGTATAACCATTTCTAAAGCTGTACCTGACCTTCTGTGGCTCTTTCATTGAGAAAACTCTTCGGACGTTCTGACAGATGTCTCCTCTGTTTAGCCAAACTGGCCTACCTCATGGCTCAGATGCAGCCCGCTCATGTGAAGACCACTGCTGGCAGACCTGGACCTCCAGGGCCTCCTGGTAAAGATGGCAGTGCAGGAAGAGCAGGTCCCCCTGGAGAACCTGGAATGCCTGGCCAGAATGGAGGAGAAGGGCAGAGAGGCCCCATGGGCCCTCCAGGTGGGTCAAAGTTTGGAACCTCTTCTAATGTCCTCCTATGGTGTGAATGTGAATGTTGTCAGTGTGTGGCCAGTGACTTGTATCTACTGAGATGACATTCCTGCTGACCCTTATTGAAGAAGTCCCGTCATACATCATACATATGCATAAGACTGTGTTTGATTTGGACTGTGTAAACGTCTGATGAGACATTGTGTGCAGGTGAAAAGGGGGCACGAGGCGAGAAGGGGGAGGCTGGTGTTGGCGATAGAGGAGAGCCTGGACCCTCTGGGCCTATAGGTAATCCCCTGAGTTCACACTCTACACAGTTTCTTGGCTCTTCAGCAAATCATTCAACAGTGGAGAATCAAGCACATAAATCACATTTATATTGTATATCTAGAGTCTATTCTTTAAAACCTAACATCACATTTCCTAAGTTAATTTATATTTAGAGTTTAACCATATCTTTCATATTTCTATTTCAGTCCATGCATTATTTTCTATTGTTATACAGGCCCTGCTGGTTTACCTGGTTATGGTAAAGATGGAAGCCCAGGACAAGCCGGAGCACAGGGAGAGCCAGGCAACCCGGGCCCCCATGGGCAGCCTGGACCTCCAGGACCTGTGGGTCAGTGTGACCCCTCACAGTGTGCCTACTATGCCAGCCTGGCACAGAGACCCCACACAAAGAATGTGAAGGGGACTTAGCCCGTACTTGATGAAGGACACATTTGCGGCTGTCCGCCGGTATTTATGAACTCTGCTCCTATCAGTCCAGAGCTTTAACTTTTAGGGATGACCTCATTGTGGAGGAAGCAACTGTGCTGCTGGCGGATTCTTTTGTACTGTTTCATAATGGGACAAAGCTTTGGATTTATGGGGCATATTTGAAATTGGGATTGAGAGGGCAGCTAACTGTTTTTCTACCTTGCATGCTTCCTGTGGAATATAGATAGATAACAGCTTTTACTATTCCTCTGTGATTATCTATCATTGTATCAGCAATTACTCAAAACTGACCAGGAACATATCAGCGGCAGTTTTTTTACATCATACTGCAGTGAACTATGAGGCAAATCTGCGGACGGTTCAAATTTGGACTGCGCTGGTCTCCTCCAAGACGGGACACACAACATGGTTCACACCCCTGTTCTGGATTACTGGATTTCTGGATTTCAAGGTTTACTAATCACATCTGTACAATTCGTTTTTTCATTCATGCCATGTCAAACCTGCTTCCTAAAGTATTTCACGATATGGTTGAAGGATTTCTGATCTTTCAATGTTTTTCAGGAATGATCACTTACTAATAATTTGCTTGCTACTGTTAAAATATTTAGAAAAAGAAAATGAACTGCAAAAACCCCTCGTTTGATATCCACTTTTGGCGACAGTGGCTCAGTTATAGAGCATTTGCCTTTGTGCCTGAGGCTCGTGGGTTCGAGCCCACCACAATTTCCACTGATGTCTGCTGTCGTTGTGTCTATGGGCAAGACAACCCCACTATGCCTGAAGCCCCCACTGAAAGATCAAGGCTCCTGTGGACTCACCACCTGCAGGAGGATCAGTGAGGGGCTGGTGCTCTGTGCACTGCGTGCAGCTCTGACTGTAACCCCCCGACCCAGGGGATTAAGGGGAAGAGGATGGATGGATGGATGGAGTGTGGCCTTAAAATCGCCATGGCAATATCCAAGTTACAGGTCACATCAGTAGATAACGCAGCTGTAAAAAACAGTTTGATTTGTGGTTTTGAACTAATAGGCTGTACTCCAGGCAAACCATTTGTTCCCCCTTCAAATAGCATAATCATGATGAAAGTACCTGTAGGCCTATATCTCTGATCCTTTGGTCTGGCTTCTAAAAGCAGTAGAGAAAATGCTGGCTTCGATGGCAGTTCCCTTGTTTAATGAAGTGCGGGGGAACTGGGCTCAGTTTTGGGCATCAGTAAACAGCTTTGAGGAGGTGGTCTTCCTGCAGCCTGGCTTCACCTCTTCCTCCAAAGCAGCTTGTTCCACCTCCTTTTCAATGCGTCGCTTCCTTTCTGCACCACGAGGCGTATTAAGGGCCCACAAAGCTTTACCCTGCTTTGAAAACACTTTGCCTTTCTTATGTGTCCCCTGGAACCCACCATTTTAAAGCCGCTGTCTTGCATAGCGATGACCGGCCCGTTGTGTGGAAGTATTTGAGAGATGCGCTTGCCTTTTGCTCCTATGGGCCAATGAAAACGGTCCCCGGACTGACGTGAGAGCTAAAGCACCTTTTAAATGCTCTCCACAAAAGCATTCACCTCTGTCTTCCTCAGAAAAGATAAAGAAACGCATCAATACTTACTCCAGGAAAGCACAGTGAAGCTATTTTTCAGGAAAGGTTTGGAAGTGGAAATCGCCTGTTGCCACTACAGGTATAATTGAAATGTTATGAGAAATTGTCAAGAAAGGCCAAAGCGGTCAAGTTTTCTAATGGAAGGATGCGTATCGGAGCTGAACGTACAAAAAGATTTTTTTGTACAGTAGACATATTCAGTAGAACAGTAGAAAATATTCAAATTGTAGCTGTCATTTTGGTATCAGTTAAATGCAAAGACATTTTTCATTAAAGAGCCTTGAACATTGCACACTATCATTTTTTTCTAATAAAATGAAAACAAAAAATAGATTAAATAAGCCCAGCCCTAATTCAACAACAAGATTACAATTGTTTTTTGTGGAATGTTTAATACATTGTACCCTGTTTGTTTTTCTTCTTTGAAATGATTTTTCAGCATCAGATTTTGTAAGCTTTTGTTTTTGCTGTTGCCCCCGAGAGGCTAACATTAATTTTCATCTCAGCTTCATGAATGCATAGTCCTGTACTCAAGGTTACAAAAGCACCATTCTGTTAAACTCCTTAGTTTCTTTTAAATGCGTTTTATGGTTCAACAACGGCACAGCGCTCAGATTGAGTTGTGTCTTATTGAGCTATTTTCATTTGAAATCTATTGTGGTTGTTTAAATGTTTGGTAAGTTATACTGATAAATTATTCTTGTACGCCAGCGCTAAAAATGTATTAACAAGTGCCTCCATTGGTTCTGAATGAATTGGGAGCTATTATGATCAAGTATTACCTTTGTCAGTATTGAACAGACATGTACTGTATTGTATAATAAAAATTGGGACGGATTGATTTTACAATAGGTTTATGAGTGTGGTGTGGTGTTTTCATTTCCTGTTTAATCAACACGGAAACCTGTGCATATATGAGAAACTGCAACAGAACACCATTATCAATTTACATTATAATCCATATTCTTGAAGTTTGTGTGTTTGTGCATACTTTAATGGAGGGGAAATATAAAATATACCATTAAGGGCTGTGTCTGCAGGCAATGTTCTCCTTCATTTCATTAAAAGAAAAGATTTTTCCCCAAAACAAAAGTGTGTGAACTTTCACAATATCAGATGGTTTTGAGTATTCAGTTGTGCTTGAAAGTTTACACACCCAGTGATGTCATTGTTTCGGCCATTTTTCAGAGATTAAGAACGATGACACAAGACCACTCTTTGTTAGTGGTTGTTTGATATTGTATTTTCACATTATAACATAATTGAGCTGCTGAATTGTGCATTTCATGCGAGGCGGCCCAGGAATTTACAAGAGCTGGATGCTTTTTGCATAGAAAGATTTGCAATTTTATCATCAGAACGAATAAAGAATCTCATCCCCAACAATCAGACTCCAAACTGTAATGGATGTTAATAGGGCCATTGAGAACTGGGGGATGGAGACTTCTGCTCAGGGTCAGAAGAGGAGTTTCTGATGTCCTTAGCCATCCATCCATCCATCCATTTTCTACCCTTTAATCCATTTCTGGGTCAGGGGGGTGACAGTCAGAGATGCCACCCAAGTCTCATAGCACCAGCCCCTCACTGACCCTCTGCAGGTGGTGAGTCCACAGGAGGCGTCCTTAGCCTACAATTTGAAAATATACAACCACAAATGATGTATGGGAAAAGAGCATTATTGCAATATCATTAAAATTAATATAATTCCATAATTTATGTAACACGGGAAAAAAACATTTAAGTTTGATATCTTGTTTACTGAATTTTGGAATGAACCACTTAAGGTAAAGTACCCTTCAAATCCACTAGGGCCTCTGTCAGGAGCAGGGGTTACTTCAGTCTGCACCCGGAGCCCACGTCCAGATGTTGATGCTCAGCTTGGTCAGGACTATCAGAGGATTTCCCCTTTGGGTCGGTACCAATACGCTACACCTGTATTTCAAAAATGTAACACAACATATTTAGTTAAATAGAGCCTGAGGCCGTTTACAAAGTGCTGAGATTCAAAGATATCCGACGTACGCCGCTCCTGCTCCTGCTCCCAGCTGCTCGGTAAAGGTCACTTTTGATCGGCCATTATATTTATATTGACACAGCTTTGTATCCAGGCAACAGAGAAACATCTTGCACGCACACAGATATGAAGCTCATTTGATGACAAATACAACCACAGGTCACTTTCACAGCTTTTTAAAAACTGAACTGGCTGTTTTTATTGATCATTGAACTGTCCTTTGTTGTAAACACTTATAGCAGTTGGAACAATATGGTGCATGACACACAAACAATTAGCTTTGAAGCAGAAATGCCGTTGTTGAAGTGGACCTTTTGAAACCAAACCATTGATTCTTGTGCCGGCTCATTATTGCAGCAGAGAGTCATTGGGTCATAATGTCAGGGCCTGAGCTTCATAGATAGAAATGCTGTTTGATAGTGTGAGGCCATTGTTCCCTGCAGGCCTGTTGTCGACTGAGGAGATAGATAAGGCACCAGTAGCAGCTATTTCTGAGCACACCATCAGTAAAAGTCTTTACAAGTTTGTACAATTGTGCATGGTCCCCATGTTCAGTGGAGACAGTGGAGTGTGTCCAAAGATGTCCTCGTGTGGAGGGTTTGTTACTGGTCTGTTTGTCACTTCCTGCTTTTGAAGCTCGCAGACTTTCCACTGACCATGTACATAGGAGGCATTCTGGCTATACAAGTGGAGGGGTCGCAGAGGCCAGGGGGGCCGGCGGGGCCTTTGGGACCTGATGCTCCGGGAACACCAGGACTTCCTGTCTCACCGTGCGCTCCGTCTTTGCCGTCTTTGCCGATGCCAGGAGCACCCGGAGCACCTGGAGCAGGACAGGTAACTGTACATGACCTCGGTTCACCTCACAGTATTGTTTTACATGTTTCACTGACATATGGTCTTACCTGGGACACCCGGTTCACCTGGGCTTCCCTTCACTCCAACTCCATCATCTCCTCTGTCTCCCTTGTCTCCTTTGTCCCCAGTGTCCCCTGCAGAGCACAAAGTTAGGCCACTGTGGGCTCTGGATGATGAGAGTGTAATTAGTATGCCTAATGAGTCCACTGTGATTCAGTTTAGTGGATCAGTGATTGTGTAATGTACATTTGAGTGGAGCTCAGAAGACGAGGTATGCTGCCAGCCCCTAAGGCTTTATTTAATCTCTCTTTGTTCCGTCACTGATTCTGGAGGAGCACCAGGGAGAGGAGCCTCACTCTGTCACAGCAGCCCAGTTTACACATGACTTCATTGCACTGACCTTTTTTACCCGGAAGTCCTGGAAGACCAAAGAAACCATGATGGCCTTTGGGGCCAACCGGCCCTGGGACTCCTGCTGCACCGGCTGCTCCAGCTGGCCCTGGGGGTCCAGGAGGGCCTGCTGCTCCAGGGGAACCAGGCGCACCCAGAGCTGCAGGCTTCTTCAGCAGCTCTTTCCTAAACTCTGACAGTTGTTCTGGACAGAACAGAGAGACTTCAGCACTTATGAACACCAGGAAATCACAATTAGAGAATGTAAAATCTGGACCAGACTTGCTGAAATGCAAGTGTTCAAATGTTCAAATCCAGCTTAAAACAGTTGTGTTTAGCTCTACATACAACTGCAGGATGTATCTTCACTTTTTTAACGTACTGTGATTATTTAGTGTATGAACTGTCCTATACAAATAAACCTGCCTTGCCTTACCTTCAACAACAGCTGCACACATCTCTTTGAGCTTCTCATCCGTGACTTTTGGGCCCTAAATGAATGACACTCATAACACTATTACAGTAATACAAGTCAACTCAACAATAAAGACATTTGAAGACTTTGAGCAGTAGAAGCCGTTGTGTTGTATGTTGTTCATGAAGAATAGTAGAAATGGGGAAAAGGCTCAGATGTGATTTCCCTCAGTGCCAGTCTATTGTTTGAGTGTGAACGTGCAGCAGCTGCAGACGGCTGCAGTGATTCTCACTGGGGACTGAGCTTCACACAATCTGTGTCCATCCATGACTTGCATTTACACGATTCAGGATTATTGTGATTTTCTTCATATGATTATTATTTTGTATTTGTCCAAAGTTTAAATTCATTTCTCTAAGCCTGGATAAAAGACAAAATCCAAGCATGGAGAAAAGTCATTGATTGATGTCACTTGTAGACATTTGAACCTAGTTTAATTTACAGGATTCATCCTCCTTTCTTTATTCACAATTAAGAACCGCCATGACACCTTACAGTACCATGGCAGTCTCCTTTACACAAATTCCTGGTTTCCGTATGTCGATGTTATGTGTGGATCAAAGGGTGTATTCTCAAAAAGATATTTTGAGAAAGACATATGTCCCATTGTTTTAGAGCAGAGATGGAGATCAAACTTTGACTCCATTCGATTTGCGTCACTGTACTGTGTTCCTCGGACCACAAACCTCGGTCTGAGAGGTCTGGGAGACGGTCAGTTGTGGTCAGTTCTTGGAGAGGGTGGCCGGAGTTTTGTTTATGTTGTGTGACATATTTACATGTTTATTTTTGTGTCCTTTACTGTCCTGGACCTGTGTGCGTGTGTGTGTGTGTGTGTACTGCCTTACAGGTAAGCCCCTGGGTCCTGGGGGTCCGGGTACTCCTGATTCTCCCTCTAAACCTCGAGCTCCCATGGGTCCAGACAGACCCTCGTGTCCAGGCTGTCCTGGTCTGCCCTCTGCTCCTGTGGCTCCTCGCGTACCTTTCTCTCCGCGCTAAGAGTAACATACACATGACAAGATATGTAATCTAATGTTGTAATTTACTTTTTACATTTCTAGATTTATACCTCTCCTTTGACTCCAGTCACTCCAGGAGGTCCCTACAACACACATGAGATCAGAGTAAGCCCCTGTGTGTGACCTGGGAACACTACATGTCTGCCCACACTTACCTGATCTCCCTTTACTCCTGAGTCTCCAGACAAACCTGGGTCCCCCTGTAAACATCCAAAAATTCTTCAATACTGTGTTCTTTTTCAAATAGAAAGAACTATATCTTCTTACCATACTGCCTTTAGGCCCGACTGGGCCGACTGGTCCCTGCACAAACACATCCACATTTCTTCAGAATGATTCAATGAAGACGTGAGACAAAAAACAAACAACATATGGAGCACTTACCATATCACCTTTGAGTCCAGTGTGTCCTTTAAATCCCTTCTCACCATGAGCGCCCTTGTCTCCTTTAACCCCCTGCACAGACAGGTGACTTTAGATTCACATATATTTGGCACGTGTTGACCAAATGTTAATTCATCTGAGTTCTGTGTGTATGTTCTATTGTGGCCTTCAAAGAGCCGAGAATCTACCTGTAAAACATAAATGGTAAAAGTTGTATGAGTAACTAACCTGGATACCTGGAGGACCTGCAGCCCCCACTGGCCCCTGCTTTCCAGTTTCTCCCTGAAAGATTGAAAGGGAAATGGAACATGTTTTTCATATCTGTATAATCTAGAGACACATCGTTTACTCACAGTAGCTCCTTTTTCACCAGGAGTGCCGTCCTCTCCAGGGTCTCCGTCCTCACCCTGTTATAGACACACCCACATTTGCATCAACTCTTCACTCAAAGACAAATATTCTGTAAAACAAGTTTGAGATAATTCTTACAGTTTTTCCTGGAAGTCCCACAGGTCCAATGGGCCCCTGGTCCCCAGTGTCCCCCTGAGACACAGCAGAATTCAGTCTTTTCAGTCTTGGACAAAAGCCGAAGATCTATTTGTATTTTCACTAACCTTTTCCCCAGGGGGTCCCACTACACCTTGCTTCCCTGGCAGTCCCTGAGAGCAACCACATTAGTCCATTAAATGAAAAAAGAAAAAAACACTGGTTTCATGTAAAAAGCACACATGTACTTACTGGAATACCCACAATCCCTCGGACGCCCGAAGCTCCCGGGGTCCCAGGTTCTCCCTGACCATGACACAAAGGAAATAGTTTGATAATAATAATTCACTTGAAGAATTTCCTAATTCCCCATTTTTCACTTTAGCTCAGCCCCCCTGGGGCAGAACCCATCCCCAAGGAGGCGTCCAGGAGGCCTTCGTCCTAGTCCATCGACTATTCCAGATATTGCTGTTTCTTGGGCTCTAGTTTCAATGAGATAGTTCTACAAAGAATACCCCACAATGAAGCAATAAAAGAACAGTATGTAGTTTCTACTCATGCTTGTATAATTCCTTTTGTTGCTGATGCAGACAGGATCTTTCATGCTGTCCCTTTTACCATCTGCAGCATAAAAAAAACTGCTTATTGCTACAATATGTATGAACGTAGTATTCATACAGAAAGTAAAAAACTGCACCATGGAGAACAACAGTTGTGTTGGTTCACAAGACACAAGAAGCTTAATCAAACATCAATATAGTATTTTTTATAATTGAAAATAAATATATGTACCTTTGCTCCTCCTGCACCAGAAAGTCCGTCTAAGCCGTCTGTGCCCGGCACGCCCTGTGGGTCACAACACAGTTAGACTCTAAGTTAGAGTCTAATTCAGACTCTGAAAGCAGTTGTTGATAGTAAGAACGCAGCTCTGTCACTTACAGATTCTCCTTTCTCTCCTTGTGGACCTTTCTCTCCCTGTGCTCCCAGTGCGCCCTGGTGATAACAACAGCACAGGTGAAAATGGCTTCTAAAAGGCTTTTGCAATATACTACATGAGCGAGATAACTCACTTCTTCACCCTTGGGGCCCTCTGGCCCTGGACGTCCACGAATCCCCTCCACTCCCTGAGAGGAGACATCGTATTAGAGCTTTATCAGCCACACATCCATCACAGTCACTTTCACTTCAGACAAAACCAAGCATAATCAACGTAAAGGAGCTCACTCACCGGAGCTCCAGGGGGCCCTGTGGGTCCAGGGATGCCGTTGAAACCTGGTGGTCCCTGCGATCAAAATATATACATAGATTATTGTATAAAACATATTTGTTTACATTTTTAAATGGGACTTAAACATGTAAACACTGTGATACCACTGAATTTGTTTGAACATACTCTATCTCCTTTTTCTCCAACACTTCCAGGGAACCCAATAGGTCCCCTTACGCCCTGAAAACAAGAGCAAAGGTTTACTTCAAATTGAAGACAATAAGAAACATCTTCAGAACATAATGAGCAGGAAATGTGTGTGTATTGAGTTAAGTGTATTTGGACCCTGGTACACTAAATATTTCATTGTTGATCAATCAAATACAGAAATCAAATGATAATGCTGCATTTTTATGATAATCCTGGAACACTTTAAAATGTTTGATTACTGAATAATTCGCTTGACGTAATCCTTTTTCCCTTAATTTGTTTTTTAAAACAATAATCCTTCTTTTCATTCCTAGCTGAAAGGATTTGAAAGCTCTTGGTCATAACATTTTAAAGCCTAAAATGTACATATTATATAGATAAGATAAGAGATCCACATAAAAGTGTGAGTGGATGTGCAGCTGTGGATGTGCAGCTGTGGCTCTCACATCGTCTCCCATGCGCCCAGGCGGGCCGGCAGGACCATCTGCTCCTGCGTCTCCCTGTGGAACAAACACAAATGAAATCATGAGACTAATCATATCAGGCTCTGCACAATCATTGTGTTGACTTATTAGCTCTCCTTACAAGCACACAATAGCAGCACAAAAAATAAAGGTTTTATTGTTATTACATCATATTGTTTTATTCTATTAACAGAATATGGTCAAAAAGTTAATATTAAAAAGTCTTACCTTTTCTCCTGGGATTCCATTAACTCCCGCCTCACCAGCAGTTCCTTTGTGTCCCTAACAATTAAGAAGAAAGTAATAAATGTTACCTAAAATAATTGTGCTTTATTGTCCTATTTGCATTTTTTCAAATAATGTTATTATTGAACTTAGTTCTGGTTTCTTGCAAGGGATAACAAAGAAAGTGTGGTTGCAGTTGGATGTAGCTGACTGGGTGATCGGCCAACTCAGGGGTAATGCTATGTTTAAGGTTAATTTTAGAAACTGGAGCAAACATCCACAGTATTGTATGTTCAAATATATTTGAATTAAAATGATTGTGTTTGTACCTTCATCCCTGGGAGTCCAGGCAGGCCCTGGGGGCCAGCAGGACAGGTGGCAGGGCACTGTAACACACACACACACTCTGAGGAAATGTGCAGACACACTTTAACAGGAGTAAAGAATAAGGAGTGATGCATGCAGCCCCAATGTCACTGAAGCAGAAACACGACAGGCAGAACAAGGCCCAAAACTCACAGGTTCCCCACTTCCCTCAGGGGCAGCACCAGGAGGCCCCTAGAAAACACCAGAAGGAGGATTTAGATGTACACCCACCACCACAGGCTCTAGCTTTCCTAAAGTCCACTCGTGTAGACGATAGAGAAATGCCCTTCATGAGAGAACAGCCTCCCACACCAACACCCAGTTTGGATCTTACCACAGGCCCTGGGGGACCTGGAGGTCCTGGAGGTCCAGCAAGTCCAGCAGTCCCTCTTGGCCCTGGAGGACCCTGTCAATCATGTGCATGAATAAATACACTCATTGTTTCCTAAAAATACAACCACAAACAGTTCCAACCTCTGGCCCAATGTTTCCTTCATCTCCAGGGGTGCCAGGTTTGCCCGGTGTTCCCTACAGATCACAGAAACACAAGATTGATAGACCAATGGTCCAAAACACCAAGACAACACAAGGAGAACTGATGTACTGTAGCTACAGCAGACTCACAGGGGCTCCTTCAGTGGCTGGGCCCTGCAAGAACAGAACAGGGAACTTTTAATTGGCCCAAGCATCTTTTGGTCCAGAGATATATAGGGAAATGTACACTTACAGCAGGACCTGCTGGACCGGGGAAACCAGGAAGTCCCTAAGAAAAATCATACAAGAGGTTTAACCCATACAGTTATTCTCAAATATTCCACACAACCCTCAAATTTAAACTAAGACCAGGAAGCAGCATCTCACTTAAACGTGATGACGCTATTTGACTTTTGACAAAGGCTGGAGCTGGATGGCTGAAGCTTCTTGTTCATGTCCTGAACATGAACCCCTAAATTAGAGACTTTGGGGGATGGCGATCAATCCAGGTTCTGAATTGTGAGTGCTCAAACAGTGAGTGAAATGTCTGTGCATGAGTCCCATCTGCACGTGCACAGGCACCCATCACTTATACTATTTAGTGTTCTACATGGATTGCATTGCTTTGAGTTGTATGCATTGAGTTGTATGCATTGGGAAATCTACAACAACACCTCCTGCATCTGTTGTTTTGCAACTTTTAGTTAAATGGAGATTGATGTCACAAGATTGTGTGGTCCAGCCATTAGAGATGTTTAGGAACAATATTAATGTTATTATTGTAATCTTTGTACATTTTTGTTCAGCTTTGTACTGGCACTGTAATGACTGACTTACCCTCTCACCAACTGGCCCTCTTGGACCCATTGGACCTGAAGATCCCTACAAACAAATAGAAATACAGCTAAATAATAACATTATTTCTAATAGACCATTAAACGAGAACAGAATAAAGAGGTTTTGCACCAAGTGAACAAGAATAGCCAGTGTTAAAGTGAACCAGACTAAGTATGCAGGCCCTATTTCTGGTGCACTTGGAGATATTATGCTTATGGCGATGTGAAAACACCATGTGGGCTCTGGTCCACTATCGGTCGGCCTCAAAGAAATTCTGGCAAACCGTCCGGCGCCTCAGGAGGGGGAAGCAGTTCTTTGCCAACACCATGTACGGTGCGGGTGGAGAGCTGCTGACCTCGACTGGGGATATTGTCGGGCGGTGGAAGGAATACTTTGAGGTTCTCCTCAATCCCCCCGTCACGTCCTCTGTCTCAGAGGCAGAGGCTGAGGATGCTGGGGCGGATACATCCATCTCCCTGGCTGAGGTCACCAAGGTGGTTGGTAGCCTCCATGGTGGCAAGGCTCCGGGTGTGGATGAGATCCGCCCTGATTATCTAGTCTCTGGATGTTGTAGGACTGTCTTGGCTGACACGTCTCTGCAACATCGCGTGGCGATCGGGGGCGGTGCCAATGGAGTGGCAGACCGGGGTGGTGGTCCCTCTCTATAAGAAGGGGGACCGGAGGGTGTGTTCCAATTATCGTGGGATCACACTCCTCAGCCTCCCCGGTAAGGTCTACTCCAAGGTACTGGAGAGGAGGCTACGGCCGATGGTCGAATCTCGGATCCAGGAGGAGCAGTGTGGTTTTCGTCCCGGTCGCGGAACATTGGACCAGCTCTATACTCTCCATCGGATACTCGAGGGTTCATGGGAGTTCGCCCAACCTGTCCACATGTGCTTTGTGGATTTGGAGAAGGCGTTCGACTGTGTTCCCCGGGGTGTCCTTTGGGGGGTTCACCGGGAGTACGGGGTCGGGGGTCCTCTGCTGAGGGCCATCCGGTCCCTGTATGACCGGAGCCAGAGCTGTGTTCGCATTGCCGGCAGTAAGTCAGACCTGTTCCCGGTGAATGTTGGCCTCCGACAGGGCTGCCCTTTGTCACCGGTTCTGTTCACTGTATTTATGGACAGAATATCTAGGCGCAGCCAGGGGTCGGAGGGGGTCCGGTTCGGGGACCACAGAATTTCATCTCTGCTGTTTGCGGACGATGTTGTCCTGTTGGCTCCAACGAACCAGGACCTGCAGCATTCACTGGGACGGTTTGCAGCCGAGTGTGAAGCGGCTGGGATGAGAATCAGCACCTCCAAATCTGAGGCCATGGTGCTCGACCGGAAAAAGGTGCCCTGCCCTCTTCAGGTGGGTGGAGAGGTCCTTCCTCAGGTGGAGGAGTTCAAGTATCTCGGGGTCTTGTTCACGAGTGAGGGAAGAATGGAGCGTGAGATTGACAGGCGGATCGGTGCAGCGTGCGCAGTGATGCGGTCGCTGTATCGGACCGTTGTGGTAAAGAGGGAGCTGAGCCGAAAGGCAAAGCTCTCGATTTACCGGTCAATCTTCGTTCCCTCCCTCACCTATGGTCATGAGCTTTGGGTAATGACCGAAAGAACGAGATCGCGGATACAAGCGGTCGAAATGAGCTTCCTCCGCAGAGTGGCTGGGCGCTCCCTTAGAGATAGGGTGAGGAGCTCAGTCACACGGGAGGAGCTCGGAGTAGAGCCGCTGCTTCTCCACGTCGAGAGGAACCAGTTGAGGTGGCTCGGGCATCTGTTCCGGATGCCTCCTGGACGCCTCCCTGGGGAGGTGTTCCGGGCACGTCCCACCGGGAGGAGGCCCCGCGGAAGACCTAGGACACGCTGGAGGGACTATGTCTCTCAGCTGGCCTGGGAACGCCTTGGGGTCCCCCCGGACGAGCTGGAGGAAGTGTGTGTGGATAGGGAAGTCTGGGCGTCTCTGCTTAGACTGCTGCCCCCGCGACCCGGCAACGGATAAAGCGGAAGAAAATGGATGGATGGATGGATGGCTCTGGTCCACTAGTCTCATCAGTGGAATTAAACAAGGGCAGCTGTATACTGTAGTTACATAGCTGTATTTCGTCTGATATTCGTCTCTAGTTTGGCCCATTTGTCCTGTCCATGTTTTTTCCAGGATGCCATGAGGACACTGCAAAGAGGGGCAGGTTTGAGTGTTTATTTGTGGTCAGTGAGTGATTCTTACAATAGGTCCTGGGAGGCCAGGCAGACCTCTCTGTCCTGGCAATCCGATCTCACCCTTCTCCCCTTTAGCGCCCTGAGAAACAGACACAACATACATCACAGCAGGTTATCTGCTTCTTGCATCGCCTTGGACTGTTGCTAAGATACAAAGAGGTGACAGTCAACATTATTCAATGACCAGAGAACAAGTCCAGCTACAGACTTAAGAAGAAGGCTACAACGATAAGAGGATCAAACTGTAGTGCTAGAATGGAAGGACACATGCACTACAGCGCTGTACTTACCACTGACCCCGGGGAACCAGTTGAACCTGGAAGACCCTGAAACACAACAAAGCCAATCAGTCAACTCACAATCAAGGGAAGCAAGGGGTTTGTACAATTTGCTCTTACATCTCTTCCATCCCTGCCATCCTCTCCAGCAGGCCCCCGGGGACCTTCAGGGCCAGGTATACCAGGCGGCCCTTGCATTGACTTATCTGGCTGAGAGCAGAATACACAAGTGAGCAAATTATGCATAAATATTTTCCTTATTTGTTATGTGAGTTTTGTTGCAATCCATTTTTGTGCAGCATGTTACTGTTTAGATTATTGTGACCATATCATGGAAATGACCATGCGGGGCCAAACCATCAAAAACTTAGCATTAGCAAAAAGAAATGAGGCCATGTCTGCTCTAGAGTGGATTATTGTTTTAAAAGTATGTAAATACCTCAGCATTGGCATACATCTGCAGAAGCAGAAGAAAGGAGAAGAGAAGAGTTAGTGACAGTCCCCACACCACCTTCACCGTGTCAGCGAGCACAGCCAGCATCATGCTGTCACTGCTGCCACCAGGCCAGCAAGGAGACGCCTCCTCATGTGGAAGGACAACTTTACAAACATTATATTGTGATGCAAACACAAGCTCATTCAGGTTAAGTCATCATCATCTAGTTCTAGATGAAGGTGAAGGAACTTTGATGATAAGGAAGGCAAATACAAAAACCAATCATTGGGTACACTGCCAAAATCTGAACTCATTTGAATGACAACATCTGATTGAGAGATCTTCACTATATATATATCCACTAGCAATATCCCACAATGACTATGTCTGAGGCTATGTCTGTGCTTGAGTGGATTATTGCTTTAATACATGAAACCATGACGTAGAGAATCCTGTGTGTGTGTGTTGCCTGTGCTCCAGGTCAGTTGTAGAAACACACATCAACAACAGTGAAACAGGAGCTTCTCAGCTCAGTGTTTAATGTTGTGAATACAAATTTCAATTTTGCACTTTTTATAAAATTGTCTTAAAAACATTTTTTGTATCCTTATCATCATGGGGTATTGCGAATAGATGGCAAGGAAACAAAACATTTGGAATAAATGTAGAAAGAAGTGAAGGGGGTTGAACACTATTGGTCATAATGGCCACTAGAGGCACTGTCTCTCAGCTCTTGTGTGGCTTTGGCAGACATTTCAACACATTTCCTTTTTTTGCTGTCAGGATTGCCAATTAGTTGCTAACAATTGTGTTTTCCCTGTAATAAACTAAGGTGTAAAACAGACATGAGATCATGTCTGACTGAATCAACCTTTAGGATTTGTTCACTCAGTCTTTCTGGTGTTTGGGAATGTTGTGATGAAGGTTGAACAAAGCAGCAGTTCATTCTGTGGGTGGAAACCTGGCTCAAGGTACATGCTTTGTCCTGATCCAAAGCACACCCAGACTTACTGTACCTCTGTGGCAGGCAGCTCATTGCAGCTCTCTCTCTGGGCTCTGTTTGGATCACAGTGGATCAACATCCACTGGAGCTCGAACTGTAAACATGGACAAGTGTCACTGCACATTCACAATATTCAAATGAGGAGTGTGCGGTCAGATAGAAATCCCTATCTCTCTGTTGAACCAAAGGCTGTGCCTGGTTGTGTCTGATTTTTCAACCAATGCCATTTTCTGCAGGGATTAAATTTTCCTGCAGGAGCCCAGCTGAGCAGCTTAGCAGCGACAGCAGCACTTTAGAATTATAGCCGAGCTCAGTGCTCACATAAAGCCCAAAGTGTGTTGTATGTCCAGGCAAACCCCTGCTATTATCATCCTCTATGTGCTATCAAACCAAACATCAGCAACCAAATACGATCTCATATATACACTATGTAACCCCAAATTAATCATATGTACCCAGAATAACATTACTGTATACACTACTGCTGCAAAATGCAGCAGAAATGATTTTCTACAACATCCCAGTACTATCCATGGGTTTATAGGTTATTGAGAATGTGGACTATTTCAATATTAATGGACACTACAAAAAATATATATATTTATGTTCTCTATGGTCCTCAAAGTGTTGCATAAAACAAGTGGCTGTAACTTTACACCATACCAAATGTAATTGTAATATTTAGTCAACAGAACTTGTTAGCAGTAATTGTATTCTATGAGAAACAATATTCAACAGACAAAGTGTAACTCCAACAACACACTTACCACTACTGAGGCATCTGGATCGGAATCCAGCCGTCCAATCAGAGTGTCGCCCTCCGTGTTGATGGGGCCCTTGCCTTTTATGGGCTTCCTGTCGACCGGCTGGCAGTCCACGTACAGAGTGACCTGCTCTCGCTCCACCCCGATCATGACCTTGTGCCAGCGGGTATTGAAGAGCACCGAGAGCCCAGGGAAGGTGGCGGTCTGGAGGTTCCCGTCAGCACCCATCAGGAAGTACTCCAGGGCCTGCAGGTCCCCGTTCAGCCGCAGACCCGCCTGCTTGTGGCCCTCCTCGTCCACGATCTGCCACACGTTCCACACTTTGCCGACCGTGCTCTTGATCATGCGGAAGGTGACCATGAAGGAGTACTCGTCAGGGAAGCCGCGGGGGAAGTTCAACCTGGAAACGAGAATATCAGAAAATGAACTGGAATGCTCCACTGAACCCTAAAAAAGTACAAATTACATGAATACTACATTAACCCTTTTACATTCACTCCTTGAAAAATATAATCTCCTTTTTTCTTTTTTGAATTCTTTTTTTGAATAAGCTATAGGTCTTTACCAAGTGGTTGGGATGCCGTTTGGTGGTAAAAGTGCCTAAAACCAAGTCTCAAAATCCATATTTGGCTCTAAAACAAGTTTTCACATGCATCTATGTTTGGCCTTGGTCACCTATTTTTTTATTATTTTTTTTTATTACAGAAGGGAGGATTTGTGAGCATTGTTGAATTGGAGGTTATTTTCACTTCCTTTGTTAAAATCGTGCACTAATATCTTTTGGTATCAAGGTACGCCTCTCCTTGACTTTGAAAAGAATGCATTGTAATTATGACTACTGTGTACACAAAGCAAATTCTGTCAAGAGGTGAATCACACAATAAAGACCCAATTTACAAGACAGCAAGAAAAAATTCAAGGATAATAAAAATAAAAAAAACAGAATCAAGACGGGGGGAAAGACAATGGACTGACAACGAGGAGAGAGGCACAGGGTATAAATACACAGGAAACACAGGTAAAATAAATGACGGTTGGACATTTACAGTCTATGGGTCGGGCAGGCAGGCAGTCACACGAACAGGAAATGAAACTCAAAAGGACACAGGACAGAAGTTAGTATAGTATGCACAAAACTTCTAAAGCAGGAGGAATTGACAGGCCTAAAAACTATGAATGTTTAAATGTCTGATTGCAAATGTAGTGCAAATGTTAGCAGTTAATCGGTTTGCTCTACAGGTCTGTCATTTACCTCTCAAAATAGTTTTTGCTCATGTTTTTCACTGGAAATCCTTCACCTTGCAGAAAATTGAGAAATATTGGCATGCTCTCTTATGTGGACACTCTTTCACGTCACTTTATCTTTTCATCTACTTTTTTTATGCAGAGCCATGCAGCTTTTTGAGTTTGATATTTCATACACGCTGTTAGGAAACTCTGTGACACAAAAACAATAAAAATACAAAGTTTAGTTGGACACAGACTACATCAAACTCTCTTCAGCCCTGGTTCTTTTCTTGTTTGAGTGTTTGAGGCCGTCTTCGTTTTAACAAGCCCCAGTGTCAGCAGGAGGCTCCTTGATAGATACGCACGGCAGCCCGACTTTTAACCATCTCGTAAACCATCAAGGTAAAGCCATAAAGAGAAGTTTCCTGTTGGCCAATAAAGTCACGGAGAAGCTTTCTGCAGCTTTGGCTGGAGGTGAGAAAGTGTGAAGCATGTGGTGATGGGAGCCCTGAGGTAGAGAGAGGACAGTGATGGTGCTGCTGCCATGGCTTATGTAACAGCGTGAGTGAGAGCCAGTCCAGAGATTAGTGAAAGGACCCCTGCTTAAACACAGTGTGGTGCTCAATTGTCAAAGCTTATTTATATTCATATTCTATAAGTGTTGGTGTATTGATATAAACACAAAACAATGCAAAAACAACATGCTACTCACTCACTACACCCTGTAAACACACATTTTTCCCATGTGCACTTTTCGGATATATAACATATTGTCAGTTGCATTCACTTGTTGGTCCATTGCTGACCTCTTCAAGATCAATTGAAAAGTGATTCATCACAAGACGTAAAAATAAACGTACCTACATACTTTATTTGTTCATTCCACATTGTTTCTTAAAAACAGTTAGCATAACTAATGGCCCGTTTTCAGACCTGACTTGTGACCTTTCCAGCCTTAAGTCCAGACTGGGGGAAAGAATGAATCATATGATTTATACAGTGTACCAGTGATCTGGAAATAGGCCAGGTGTACACAGACACATCTGCAGACTTTAAAAATGTGGCAATAATAATACGAACACAAAATATGTCTTCAACACTAAAGACAAATATGTAACATTTGCTCAGACATGTTTTTTGTGACAATTACATGCTGCAGTGTGCAGTAACATCTGTGTTGGACAAGTAAAAACCACAGCAGCCGTGTAAAGGCGAACTACTCTGTGTGTTTGTCTGCAGAAGGAAACTGTACTTACATGGTTGGAATCTGGAAGTTGGCCTCTCTGTCAAGGCGGTAGGACACCTGATGGGCTGTGGAGCCATCCACCTTCCTCACGCCTTTCAGAGGGATCACGTCCAGCTGGAACTGTGTGATCAAATCAAACCCTACACACACACACACAAGTCAGCATACGCTGGAAGTCCTGCTGACAGTAGTAGGTTACATGCTTAATGCAACGTCACTTTAAATAACAATGCTTTTGTTTGTTCTTTGCAGTAAACAACTCTTGTATCTCTTTTCCCCCCATCAGGGGGGCACATTATGCACCTGGCTTCCAAATGGGTTAAACGCCATAAGCCAATTAAAGGGAGAGGGAAAAGTGCGATGAATGCCACCTGAAATGAACTGCCTCCACAAACAGGCATCACTCCACTAAACCGCAAGGCACCGTGTTCGCAGATGTGGCTCGGCGTAAACAAGAGCTATTACAATCTTGCTGAGTTTGAACTGCTCTCAGTGAGATTGTGTAAGGCACCAGTGGAACATTTTATTTGGCTCATTTGAAACACTAAGGTGCTGGAGGCCACCCTGTTTACCTAATTAAATTCAGTGTCCTCCCTTGGATTTCTTTTCTCTTCAGAGTTTCGTGGGGATTACTTTTATGCTTTTCGATTATTCTATAAAGTGCTGCGAACTATACCTGGAAGGTCATCTTGTCCACTTCTTATTGGCGGGCAAACAGTATCGCCATCGAGCCGGTTTAGGTCTAGTTCTGCAAAGATAAAACAATTCAATTAATAAAACAGTAAGGTAGACACTCTTGTAGTTTATACAGTGCTAGATACAATCAGTATTAGTATGTTCTGAATTGAAATATAAGCTCAAAATACAGAATCAACATAATAACAAAAGATAAGATGAAACCATTTGTTGTTGTGATCCAAATATGTCAAAAGTGAAGGAGGTGTAATGCATTTTAATACTGTGCCTAATGTTGCATGGCTCTATACAGCAATATGTCTTCAGAGGTCGATGCAGTCGTGTGACACAGAAACACCCAGCTTTCCTTTTTACTCATGTTCTTGACAGCAGCATGTTCCTTATTCATATAGATTCACCATTGTATTATTATAATTATCGCACAATTTATCAAGTAAAAATCACAAGAAAGCTATTAAACGTTATCTGCATCCTCTTTGCTATTTTCATGCTTGCTGACTATTTGCATTGTTTTTTTTTTCAATGTAGATTTAAAGTTGGGGTACATAGCAGTAATATAGTTAAAATACACATTGTTTCCCCCAACATACTGTCTTGTTAGTAAACATTCTATAGAAAACATTGTAGAAGCATTGTATATGCTTCTAAAAAATAGCCCGGTGAGTTAAAACTTAGACAGAGAGCTGATTGGCTGATTGAGGCGGTCCTACCCTATTTCAAGATGCAACTAGATAGAACCAATCTGGTTTAGAATGAGGTACTATATGTGGATTTTATTACATAGTTCATAGTTTCAAAAACGTAGGTACTTTGCTCAAACTTAGAACCTGGGACAAGTCAATTCTGAGTTGAGTCAGGAGAGGTCACTCTACTGGCCCTGCTGAATGAGAAGCCCCTCTAGTGAAGAACATCACAGGGGCCTGGTGACACCCGAGGGTACTCCATGCTGCCCTGAGTCAGCTCCATTACACAGGCCACATCTGGAAGCCCTTCTCAAAGCCACATTACTGCTGAGACATGAGTCCGAGTGGTGAGACGGAATTTATAATCCCATATTTACCACCACTAAACACTTATCTGACTGTGCACGCAGACCTCAAGTTGTTAAAGTTAGTGCCTGCTGCAGCATTACACATTGAGCCCAACTCATTAGTGCAATGAACGAAGGAGCAACCGCTGTTAAGATGTCACATGCTGCGGCACGTGTATCAAGATGTTCACCGAGGCCGACCTGCTGGGTACATGTACCTGTGCCGATCATTGCTGACATTTCACACAATGACAGCTAGTTTGGGTTTAAGTGACATTTTAAGAAGACTAATAGGACATAAACACATGGGGGATTTGATATTTTTTGACATTTAAAGATAGTAGCAGAAAGTAGCAAAGTAGCTGAATTTGGAGATGAGCACCTGAATCTAAAACACACTCTATACAGTGACTTGGCTCCACACAAATGTTTCCATACTTATTCTATTTATAAAATTTGTGAAGAAAGTCTGGTACCTAAATGGTTAATTAGGTGGGTATACTAACTAACTAGAAACTTAAGAGTTAAATATATCACTATCATAATTATTATAGATCACATACTGTAAGAGAAAGGTGATCTATAGTTTTTTTCAGCAAGGACTTTTTTCATTCATGCTGTTGGCAATTTTGAGTAAGATACACTGTAAGACTAATACTTCAACATGGAAACAAAGAAATTAGGCTAAATGTGGCCGCATATTTTAAGTTAGTTCAAGGTATACTTTAATGTGCCCATGGGGAGATTTTGTCTGCATTTGTCCCATCCCCCAATGCCCTTATGACCTCCACACAGAAAGGCCATGTTCCAATAGGATTCTAACCAAGGACCTTTTGTTGCAACAAATCAGTTTTAATTGCATTTTGTTGAAATAGAAATACATTTGTGAACTGTTCCATGACTTGACATAAAATAATATTGATTTTATACAACATTTAAGCATTGAAATTGTTTATGATTGATTTGCACTGCTAAAGACTGGTCCCTGATTTACATGGATTTTGTAACTGAATAATCTCACTCGAATCAACATGCAGCCTCCACGTGACTATAGTGTGTGTTTGCAGATCAAATACAGTCACATTGAAAGCCAGGCTTGTTCAAGGTCACAAAACAACTGCATCTACTCACGTCCAAGCGCTGGAGACAGGGCGATGGACAGCAGAGCCAGGGAGACAGGCAGCAAGCACGCCCGGACAGTTCTGTGCACAAGTATTCAACTAACACACTCAAAAAAGTAACAAATAACATACAGAAATATTCATGTTTATGTGTCAAAGACGCTCATGTGCTGTTGATGAGACAAATTGATCAAAGGTCAAGGAAAGGTGACACCTGCCTAAAGCAATATCTTTACGTTTTACAGCCCACCTGTGTGAAACTCAATCTGTCGGCTTTATCCATAGACATAACAGCCTAATGTGGCTGTGCCTTCTGAGGACGCTTAAAGAATATGCCCACTGAAAATTCAAACTAAGTCCACAAAATATAGGCCTTTGTTTAAACAAGTGTGTTAAATATAGATGTTTTCTGTTTTTATTTAATCCTTTTACATACCTCCCATTCTGTATATATGGCAAGCTCAACCCAAAGCTGTCATTCTGGGACATAAATAATGACATTATTTATGTCATTATTAAAATGTTTAATAACATTTTTTAAATGTTATTAAACCAACATTTATTTTAATAATAAATTTTGGTTTAATAACTCAATTTCAGCCAATAGCAAAATATCTGTAAAAAGACTCAAATGTTTTTTCCAGCCCATGAGAGCTTCAGATAACGATATGACGTCTGATTCCATTTGCAAACAAACAGAGGAGATGGGGACTCTCACATGTCCTTCAGGAAGGCCCTCTGAGCCCCGCAGGGCCTAGCTGTCTGCCCACATGCCCATCTCCGAGTGTGACTGAGACACAACATTAACCTGGTGTGAATAGTGAGGGTCAACACCTTTCATACTGATGGGAAAGTCAACTTTGGATTCTGAGCCATTTAGAAAGGACAGAATAGTTTATGAAAGAAGCCTGATCATGCATAAAGCATTATTTTCTATCCATCAAACCTCCACATGTACTTTCATTCACCCCAACTACCAAAACAAAAAAATGTCCGCATGGCGACGGAAATATGGCGCTGTGGCAAGAGCTCTGGTGTGTACTATCTGGTGTACACTGGGGTAGTCTTGAACAGTTTTTCCAATGTGGTTTTACTGGAAATGGCATATTACCAGATATTCTGAACCCATAGGACAGATGGCACCACTGCAACCTCATGCAACAAAATCAAGAGCTTTTTAAAAAAACTCTCGTCTAAATCCATTATCAAAAGATCAGAAAGCACGAGTATGTGGACGTCATGCTTTGATCTCCAAATAAGAGACCAACAGCAGCGCTGACAAACTAAATACAGCATTTACAGTAACCTGTTATGTAGTTTATCCCATAAATCGTCTTCCTAAAAAGACATGCATGACTACTATTATTGAAGCTGTCAGTCACAGTTCAAAAATAATACTAATTTAACATCAGAGCACAAGGTAGCCCCCAGAATACCTGCATTGTAATAAATCACTCGGATGATTGGGCATGAAGTCCGACCTGTACTTTTGTAATGGCACCCTCATTTAGAGGGATTTCCCAAACAAAATATTCACACTGTACAAACCATTTGTGGTTTCAAATAAGTAGTGAGTAGTGCACTTTGAATTGCCTTGTGTATGAATTGTGCTATACAAATAAACTTGCCTTGCCTTGATTACTGTTCTAAAAGATATTGGCATTTGTTTGGTTATTTAGGCTATTCTGTTCAAAGCTTTTTAAGGTAATTCACTAGAACCATAAGGAAAAAAACAGCTACATGGATTTTTTTTTGACAAGTCTTACCTAAAGTCGTAGCTCTTAGTCTACATCTACAATCATGAAAACATTTCTACAGACCAGTGCTTTTCAACCAGTGTGTTTTGGTACATTAGTGTGCCTTGATATGTAGCTTGGAGTGCCTTTTGAAAAGATCCAATATCATCTGATTGGTCAAAAATAAGGTAGAAAGAAAATAATGTGAGAAAATGCTAAATACTTTTTGTGCTTGTTTGAATTTCTGAATAATACACTTTCATAAGAATTACTTTGCATTGTTATTAAAGATGCAGAGTTTAATTTCTGTGCCAGTTTCAGCTGATGGTGTGCCATGGCTCAAAAAAATGGAGAACACTGCTATGGACAACACTAAACTGAAACAACAAAAGCATAATCCAGCTGCTCCTGTATTGGAAGATAAAGGCAGACGTTCTTCATTACCTGCTTGGATGAGAGCAGTAGAAAGCCATGTTTTAGTCCCTCCGTGCGGTACCTGGGACACGCTGACTCACAGTGGGATAAGATGCTGGAGCTGAAGCTGGTCCTACCTGCGCATGGTGAGGACTGACCAAGACCAGCAGCACGCAGGATGCACAAGCGCTTTCAGGGACCACATAAAAGTTAGTTCAATGGTTTCTCATTGGCTCCTGTTCCTTCAAGAGGTGGTGGCTATGTTTTATCACCGACACTTTAAGCCTTCGGGCCCCCACCTCTACCGCTTTTTTGTTTTACTGTGCCTCCTAATGATGTGTGCCGCCTGTATGTAATTCTCTTTATAATTATCAGGAGAAAAGCAGCTTGTTTGTGATGAAAAGTCCATTTGATAATCACGTGAAGCCTGTGGTTTTGACGTCCGTAAGGCCTTGTCATTACCTGCGCAGCCTGGGGACACACACGCTGTTTATGGATCCTGAATGTTATGTCATGGTATTGATGAATCTTTGCTTTAACACTAGAACTCGTTTGGCGGCTTTTAGTTTTGGAACTTTAATGACACTGAATGTGTACCTTTTTGGTCTTCATAAATGTGTGAATTTTTCTGTATTAATATGTATGTTTATTTCTATGTCATTATTTCTATTAAATTATCTTTTATTTTTGAAATGTGAGGAGTTCTGTAGTTAATTTTCCATGAGAGAAGAGCAAGTGTTAGCTACCATGGCAACATTGTTTGCTGTCAGTGGTTAGCATTTAGCATAACATTTCAACAAACTGTTTTTGCTGTATTTCAGTTATCTTTACCAGTAAAGGTAAAAAAAACAACAACAAAAAACATACTTAACACTTACTTTTACGAATCTGGTGAAAAAGTATAACATTTCTCCTAATTCTATTGGTTTCAATGGGAACAGTCAAAATGACGGCTGTAGGAGTGAGCTAGTTTCAGAATTCTGGGAGTCCTAGTTTTCAATCCTAATGTGATACATGCAAGATCTCATCAAATCAGCATCAATATCTGACTTTTGGATTGGTCAGGTCCATGCATGCAGCCTGTGTCGCCTCTGGGCCCTTCCTGCCTGCAGCCTCTTCTTGTGTGTATGTTTTAGAACCAGATTTCACCTGCAACACCTGCTTTTGAGGAAACGCTATTTTTATCAGAGATATGGTAAGTACCACTGTTCAGAGGGGTAAAGACCGGGTTCCTTTCCATCTTTTAACACGGTTTGCGTTGCGGCTCTTAATAATGTCTCAATAGATTGTGTTCACGTGACATAGCAATTCTAGAAGGCCACATTAAGTCTGACCCAAGACAACATTATCTGTCTATTTATCAGAAACAATGGAACTGACATCATTTTGATAATTTCTCCATGATTATAAGATACTTGCACAATTCTACCGACTTATATTGGATAATGTCACACTATAATAGTTTATACTTCACATATACAAACTCAAATGTATCTTTAGTGCATTCAATTAAGACCCTAATGCTCCAACATGCCCACAGTTATTTACTTAATTTAAATAAAAAGCAAACATCTCAATAATCTTCTTTAGAACCATGTCCACTGCCTGTTACAAAATCCATTGTCATCTACTATAAACTTGCACATTGAATTTAACAATGCCCGTGAAAACGAGGCTTTTTGTTTACACCTTGAGCAACGAGTCAATTCATTGCTAAAGACATCCTCTTTGAAAAGTGTTCCCGGCCTGACAGTCAACCGCAGTCTAATTTACCACATCCAGTAAAACAGAGGTAAGAATGAACTGCTGTGGCTGTATTGTATTACATTAATTGATTGTGTAGTGGTTGCAGTTCCTTGTCCCACTGAGTGAAATCTAATGCAGTGACTGGGCCTCCTCAGAGACTGCACAGATCATGTGTCTGCTCTGGATAATTGAGAGCTCATGGACTGAATGAGAGGCCATGCAGCACACAGAAAGCAGAGAGCCCCATGACTACTGCACTTGTGACTGAGCATCACAAATTCGCCCGAGGCTAAAAACGTGAATTCTCAAACAGCATTGCATCACTGTGGAGGCATAACGCTGGCACTGAAAACAAGGTACCCGATACTTAAACCACAGATTGCTTTGGTTTACGACGCTCAAATAGATATGTGATACACCCAAATTTGTTTGACCACATTTGGTATTATTATTACATCAATGGACAAGGTATAATTTATTTACATTTTAATTTGTTCAATTCATACTTGTATATGTAGTCCTGTGTAAATATTGGGTGAGTAAAAGATTATGATGGTGAACTGTTGTCACTCTCTGTTGTAATAGGCGTGGGCCCGGTGCGATGACGTAGGCAGTCTGCCAATTAGAACTTACGATTAAGCTCAATTTACATATTTTTCTGTGGCTGCAACCACTTTGGGACCCGTAACAGATACATGGTTGAAAGCAGTACTTCTGTGGCGGTGCATCAATGGGGTCCCATGCTTCCAGTACCTTTATAGGTTCCGCACCTTACATCCTGCTGTCAGATTCCTCAGAGCATCTTTGAGGCCCATATCTGGAAACAATAATTCACAATCAACCGTTTTTTTTCTGCCTGTGCTGTGCATCAGCTTTACAACTGGAAAAAATTAATTAGTGGATTAAAAACAACACAGAAGTTTCACAAATGTCGAGCCAAAGTGTGAAAACGGATGTCCTTGCTGTATGACCCATTTCAGAAATCTCTGCCAATTTATTCATCTGCAGAAGATCATCTTCGGCTGGCAAACAGACAAAATCAATAGAATACCCCTCTTAATCAAGAGTGCTTGTGGCGTATGGCAGAGTGCCATAAGAGAAAAGTAGCAATTGAGTTGGTAGGTACAAAAAGGAAGGTGATTCAGGGAACATGGAGTAAAGACTGGGACTGTTGTCTTGGGATTGTTGGGGTGGGACAATTTGATGGGTGGGTTCGTGGGTCAGTGTATTGAATGAACTTTAAAGAACTTGTGTTAAATACGAGAATGAAAGGAGCTGTTTACAGATTGATTGAAAGATGGTCTTATGGCTATTGAAGTAAACATAAAAGAACAATGCAGAATGATATGAGAAACATTATTTCCTATGTGTAACCCATCACAACAGCACACAGATACTGTACTTTGTTAATTCATGGTTACATAATACTCCTCCTACTAACTGACAAGTGATTAGTCTGTTGGGAGTTGTTTGAACAGGACAGGTCGACATTTCTGACCTTTGCTCACTGTACACTGTACACCTGGACAATGAGCCACGTTAGCATCTCTCCGCAATAGGCAAGTCTTTCCAAGTCAAAGGTTATTCATTCCCAGGCTGCATGCAACACCAGTGAGACCCGAGTGTGGGACAGATATTCAATGTTTTGAGTTAAGTCGATGATTCATTATGACATTAATCGTAAATTATTTGAGATCTGCTCAAAAAATTGCATTTAAAACAGGACCAAGCATTTGATAATCAGTCTATAGTCAGTCGGTTGTGCTTACATCTAAAACCACAAGAAAAAAATGCATTGCTTTTTTGTTAAATGAAAAAATATTTACCTTACCTTCGAAATGTCTGAAATTGGTGAATTTTTAAACTATTAAAACAATCTATGGGCTGGAAACAAGAGAGAAAGTTCACGTTCACAACATGTCATCCAATATGGCAGGGTGATTTGATGCCGTTTGATACCAGCCTTTTTGAGAAAACTACCCACAATGCCGTGCGTGTCAAGCCGGAAGCTCGGAACTCTTAATGCATGTATGCCTCAAAATGACCTTAAAGGTCCTATGTTTAGCTTATAATTTTTTTCACAGTCCATCCTAAGCACCTGTGATAATTATTTGGGTGATACACCATACAACACTGAAAACTTCGAAATTATAGCCATTTCTTGCATAGACCTGATGAAACACTTGGATCTGTGCTCTTACTCTGAGAACCCGCCTCCCCCCGCCCCGGGCGGTGACGTAGCATCACGCTGACTTTGTAAACACAAGACTATTTAGCTTTCAGCAGATAATAATAAATTCAGATCTGAGAATAAACTTTTTGAAACAATGACAATCCGTCACATATAGCCGAGAGCCCCTCCAGCATCGGACTCTTATTATTTAGTTCACAGAAGTATACAGCGAGTTAGTCGCACAGTACTTACAGATGGGAGCTCTTCGTTAGCATATTCTATTGCGGGAATAACACAGCTTTCCAGCTAAGCTTTTGAGTATGTTCAGTTTCATGGTAAACGAGCAGTCTTTGGAGAAGTGTCTCGCATAAAGTCCAGCCACACTCGCGCATTCTTCGTCTTTGGGTCAAATTCACATATTTACACCCAAAAACACATTTTCTACAAGTTGACGTGATGCTAACACTTTCAGCCATGACAATAGCAGAGAAACAGCATAGAAGAACCGACTGTGGTATCGGGTCCAGACCTTAATATTTACAGTCTATGGTCCACACGCTGGCAAAGGCTGTGCGCGCTGATTCACTGTTTTGATTTCTCTGTCCTGTCAATTGCCTCCTGGAGGTGAACTTCTGGAGCTCCACCTACGTGCGAAAGTGTAGGTAAATACGTAACAAAGTGAATCAGGTTTTTATAGAGCTTCTGGAGAATGAAAGAGAAAGATCGTTCTCTAACTAAAGCTTGAGGAAATCAATGAAACAACTACTTTGGGCATGTGTTAGTAAGCCAAAATAGGACTGTAATGATGTTTAAGTCAAAAAGCGTAATATGGGACCTTTAAGTAGAATTGATCCTGTAAAAGGGCGACAGTAGCTCAGTTGGTAGAGCATTGGCCTTCAGGCCTGAAGGTTGTGGGTTCAATTCCCACTCAATGACCCAGAAATGGATTAAAGGGTAGAAAATGGATGGATGGATGGATGATCCTGTAAAAGTTTCAATATGCGCCTGGACTCTGTTGTCAACATGGGGACGGGTATAGAGGGATCCTACGGTCACGTGACTAGCAGCCACGGGAGCCATACTGGAGGACAACCTCGGCGAGTAACAGCCCTGCTAGCTATCTATAACTGGACGTTCAAAACTAGAACTCTCTCGAACTACATGAAAACTGAACATAGAATTTGAAACTTCAGCAGTTAGTGACCCAAATATATACTCAACCTAAA